GCACGCGGGAGATTGCTAAGCACTCAAGAAGCTAGATTCGCTCTCGACTATCGCCTCGAGCGACTCTTACGCTTCTGTCGTGCTTAGCAACCTCCCGCGTGCATCCATAACTCAATAGTGTACGCTGTGGTGTTTACCATTTGTTAATTTATATCGAGGGGTAAAAGACTAAAAGGTTTTCCTGAGGAGCTGAAAACAATCTGAGTGACTTCTAACCAACTATGCAATTAGCGACAACTGGATAAAAACAGATAAAATTCTTGCAAGTTAATGAGTCCGATTTGAAATTGTGAAAACGAAACGTTCTGCAGATTAAATTATCAGTTGAAAGACACAAGGATAAATTTCAAGAACTAAATTATGCTGATCTCATTTAAAACCTAATTTCAAGACCCTTCTTAACTGATAAAAATCGTCATTATTGCCTTTGATGTGTTAACCATATTACCAGACTTAAACAATGAACAACATGTAAAATCGATATAAGAAAAAATAATTAACAGATACTTCAAGTCACGAAAAATCCCAGCTTTGCGTATAGCCTGAGATATAAACTACCAAATGAAATCAAAGAAGCAGCTCTTCATATGAGGAAAGTAAGAAAACAATATTACCTCGCTATACACTGTAAAATATTGGGGAAAAAAAATCTAGAAGCTTGTTTTTTGATCATATCCCAATGTTAATTTGCGCAATATAAATATTAAATTATCCTTTTTGTTCAATTGTCTATTACTTTATAATTTCCAAGGTTTATGATTCTCTTTCACTGGTTTGTTAGTTAGTATCTCGTGCCTATTTAGGATACTTTTCATTGGATTATTGTGTCAGTATCTCGCACACTTTTACAATTCACTATCACTGACTTGTTACGTAAGTATTTCGCACATTTTTAGGATTCCCTTTGATTGGATTGTTACGTTAGCATCTCGCACACTTTAAGGTATCAGTTTCGTCGGATTGTTACGTTAGTATCTCGCGCCCTTTTATGTTTCTCTTCCATTGGACTGTTACGTTAGAATTGTGCGCACTTTTGGGATTCCCTTTCATAGAATAGTTATGTTAGTATCTCGCGCACTTTTACGGCTCTCTTGCATTGAATTGTTACGTTAGTATCTCGCGCACTTTTACGATTCTCTTTCATTGGACTGCTACGTTTGCAGCTCATGCTTTTATGATTCTTTTTCATTAAATTTTGGATGAGTATCTCGCATTCTACTTTGATTGGATTGTTACTGTAGTATCTGGCGCACTTTTAGGAGTCTCTCATTGGATTGTTAAGTTTGTATCTCGCACACTGTTAGAATTTTCTTTCATTAGATAGTTATCACACGCTTTTTTCGATTTTCTCTTTCTATGCCTTGCTTTTCCTGCCTGAGTATAAGTGCGCATGAAATAAAGCCGGTTAGGTAACAAATAACACCGACAACAGTCATTCTCAGGACTACACTCGCCCGGACGATCAGACTACACCTTCACATAACAAATAACTTATTAGACGTTTTGGTGTGTAGTATTGCTGAATACGGCACAAATTATCAAAAATACTCAGCGATACTACACACTAAAATGTTTAATAAGATATATATCTCACGCTCTCATAAGATTTTCCTTGTTTCGATTGTTGCGTTAGTATCACGCACACTTTGAAGATTCTCTTCCATTCGATTATGTTAATAACTCACGATCTTTAAGGATTCTCTTTCCTTCGATTGGCTTTGATATTTTGTACACTTTTAGGATAAGTTACGTTGGTATTTTGCGCACTTATGGATTTTCTTTCATTTGATTGTTTCGTTAGTATCTCGTGCACCTGTACGATTCTCTTTCACTAAATTGTTACGTCAGCATCTCGCGCCCTTTTCAGATTCTCTCTCATCTTGTTCAATGATTGTTACGTTAGTATCGCTTATTTTTAGTATTCTCCAACTCTCCATTGTTACGCCAGTATCCTAGGATTCTCTTTTATTGGATTGTTGCCTTAGTATCTTGCGCACATTTAAGATTCTCTTTCATTGGACTGTTATGTTAGTATCTCGCGCACTTATAGGATTTTCTTTCATTAGATTGTTACCTAACGTTTTTTTTGTCTCGAGCTTTAATCTTTAATCGAGATACTCCTAAAACAGTAATAATTATACTAGGAGGACTAATTACAAAGAATAAATTTAAATAATTTATATACAGTTTACGGTTTAACAATATAAGATTAAACAAAACTTGGATAAAACAAAGCTTGGATAAAACAAAATAATATAAATAGCGTAAAGATAAAATTAGTACGAGATAAACCGACCTAATAAATGAAAGAGCATTTTAAGATTGACTTACATTCGGTTGCTACGTAAGTATCTCGCGTCCTTTTAGGATTCTCTTTCATTCGATTGTTAACTATGTAATCTCGTACACTTTAGCGACCTCTTTCATTGGGTTGTTATGTTAGTATCTCGCACACTTTCAGTCTAGTGTGCTCCAGGTATCTCTTTCATTAGGTTGTTATGTTAGTATCTCGCACACTTTCAGTCTAGCGTGCTCCAGGTATCTCTTTCATTGGGTCGTTATGTTAGTATCTCGCACACTTTCAGTCTAGTGTGCTCTTTCATTGGGTTGTTATGTTAGTGTCTCGCACACCTTCAGTCTAGTGTGCTCCAGGTATCTCTTTCATTGGATTGGAGAGATTTAGCACCGTCGGAGAATAAGCGAATAAAGTGATAGTTTTCTTTCTCCAAAACTTTTAATGTATGAATGACTGCTTAAAACCCACGCGTTTCTTATACAACTCTCGCAAGCGTAAAATATACATACAGGTGCTTTTACCCAGCATCGCAGGGATTTGATGAAATATCAACCGGGTCAACGGCGACTAAAAACAAACAAACGAATGAATTGGCTATATTTACAGTCACATTGCTATAAGATGTTCTGTCAACACCATAAAAAATAAGTCTTGGATGTACTATTCATTAAGCTGACACAAGAGAGCTGTCCCCTTCTCAATCCAGAAGTCTGAAGGAAGGTCTGTAGGAAGATATACCGCCACCACAAAATTTGTCGAGTGACCTGCAATAGAAAAGACGTTTTCAATCAATGTCTTAAGTCCCCTCTTAGTACTTGCTCGCGCAAACGCTTTTTCTTGGTATGTTCCTACCTGTGGTGGAAAGAACACCAGCTCGAGCAGATGTCTTGTACAGCGGAGATGTATAACGTGAGGGATCTGGTGTGTAGTTCATGCGAGGTTCCATGTGGAGAATAGGGCACGGCTAAAAAAAAACACAACAGGGAATGTAACCGTAAGTATATCAGTCTTCCTTGTTGCACCCCGAGCAGAAAACTTTTGCAACCAGTATTGATAAATACTGGTTTGATAAATATTGTATTGAGTAAATTGATAAATACTGGTTTGATAAATATTGTATTGAGTAAATTGATAAATACAGTATTGATAAATACTTACAGGGTTCATCTCGCCATCCAACGCGTCTCCTAGCATCATTTTTTCATCATCCCAGCGAGCGGCGTCTATGAATAAACCGTGTACCAATACTCCGTCCTCCGGAGATTCTATCTCTTCATCCATCGGTAGCGTGTCATCTGGGCCAAGTTTAGCGCGCGCCTCACTGACTTCCTCTTGGCTGCGATAGTTAGGGAGAACGTTGTAATGGAATGACAGCTGGTCAATTGGTTGATTGTACTTGCGGGCGTGGTTTTGAAGTGTTCCGGTCAGGAAACCTGGCAAAATCACCAATATATATTACGAAACTTCTTCAAGCAACACCAGCAAGATTGTCAGCGATTAGAAACTAAGCTTAATTATTTATAAGCACATTTTAACTTAATTTATCTGAATCGTCAAATGCCAGGTGAGTGACACTTTGGAGACTTGGAAAATTCCTAATACGTCACCGCGCGGTTTTAAGCCACTCGACATCATGCTTACTTTCACTTTAAACCGCTTTGTGCATGAATCACAATCGGAGTATCACCGATGGCATTTAGTAACGATTTGCCTAAAACATCTCAATAAAGACTCCAGAGAGGAATGAAAATAAGAAATACGCAACGAGTCAAAGCACTCACCCTGAGGATAGAAAAAACCGGAAATCCAAAACGATTTGGGTGCTCCTTGTTCGATCCATTGCTAGAAGGATAGAAATAAATCGCCTATCGGTCAAATTGAGAAGAAACTCAACCAGACTTTAGTATCTAGACAGTTTAGTTGAATTACCTCAAGAAGTAAAAGCAAAAACAAAAAACTAACTCTTAGCAAACAGTTTACCTATCTCGCAGTTCAACTCTAAAATGTTGGACTGAAGAAAAAGATTAAATGAAAAATACAGGCACACGTTCTCCTCAAAATAAAAAGATGACTTACTTCAATAAACATGCATCTGAGAAGCAAATCCTTCACCCACGAACCAAGAGGTTTCAATGATGGATAAGCAGCATTCGCCCACATTGTTGGAACCTTAAAAACACGAATTGTACTGTTATCTAAAGAAAGGACATGTGAACAACAGTCATTACATCCTTAGACAGACTGACATCTTTTAAGATGTTAAAACTCGTACGGGGCGTCCTCAGAGTGACTAACAACTACTTTCTCTATTGCAATACCACCCCTGAATCTTTCATTTAGGTCACAAAATAAAGTAAATTGTCACCAACCAAAGAAGCTCTTAATTGTTAAACATATTCTCCTTGTCAGTAGATTAGGAAATGTAGAGAGAACAGTACGGAGAATATGCATATTCATATAAGGGTATAAAGGGTTAATAAACAAAAGAGGGGGACGAAAACGGGAGAAATCCAACCTAAGTTACCTGATTGTTCAAAAAGTTTGTGTAAACTTTGTCCAACTCCAGTGACATCACTACCAAACCTTTAATGGCTTTCTGAAGCTGTTGTAAAGAAGTCTGAAAACAAAAAAGATATCAAACATTACATTCACACTTTGAAGTTTTACAGCAGAGGGGTACAACACTGAGCTAGCACTTGGATGTATCAAATGGTCATTTTTGAAACACTGTCATCTAAATCCACAAAAAGAAACCGAAAAAAACACACTCAGTACCTCTTGGAGTAGCCTGCTCTCAGACAAGCGCCAGCTACCACACATAATCAATATTGTTTGAGTATAGACTCGGGTAAATAACGAAGGAGTTATTAAGTTACCTTGATAACTTTCAAAAGAGAGTTAAAACGATCCACTTCCTGTCCAAGCACAGTGGTGAGTGAATTCACTCGACCTTTTGCATCAGTCTGAAATGTAACAATGAGAAAATTAACAAGGGAAAGACGACTAAGAATAAAGACAACTGCAGCATAAATAGCATCGTACCAAAAACAAAAACATCCGGTTTAGTTTTACTTTATTCTTTGTTCCAAGCTCCTTTTCCATGACTATATCAATATAAAAAAGCATTAGAAAACAAAATGGCTTTTTGAGCTCCCATATAACGATACAGCAAGGTAAGATTAACATCCGACTGGTTTGAATTCTTACTTCAAATATGGCTTTATCTGCTTTTTCCATGTCCAACAGAACTGGCAGCTTAGAGAGGATGCTTTCAGCTAGTTCATAAACAATCTCGTCGCTTGTTTTACCGCTCCCTCCACTGGCCAAACGAGGCTGTACCTCTAATACTGCAGTAATCAGGGCATTGGTCTCTTGAGTCTGTAAAGTAATATGTAATCAGTAAGTGGTTTCAACGTTTAAGAATTTCTTCCCTCTGTGGAGATTAACACCCCCAGCATGGGAAGCTAGACCAGGATTCCCTAACAGTTTGAAAATTTCATTTTATACCGCTCCCTCAGGGTCAAGAGAGGCACTGTGAAAGTAAAATATCTTTTCCAAGAACACAACACAATGATCCAGCCATACATCGAACCCAGGCCTTTTGATATAAAGCGAAGTGCGTTAAACACCAGGCCACCCCGTGTAACTCCCAAGGGGGGAGGGGGAGGGGGAAGGGAAGGGGGAGGGAAAGGGAGAGCAGCAATTCTCATGGTCATGCTCCTGCCATCTAAGCCACATCGCTCCTGTCCGGGCTTTTTTCTGTTTTGAACATTAAAAAAATGGAGATTAAGTTCATCGGTTCAAAGCTACATTAGTCTTACGAGTAAATGAACTGGAGCCGGACAGACGAAACAATCTTTTACCTGGACCACTACGTCTTAAAATGGTCGAGAAAATGCATAAAGCTAAACCAAAGAAGAATAATTTTGTTCTTACCTGAAAAGCGATATTGGCATTGTTGTGCATTCCAAACACCTCAGGTTCATCAGCGATAGGCAGACTGTCGATGTAATCTCTGTACTCCGGTAAACTGTCATATCCAGGGGGAAAGTAGATACCTGATGATGTCATACATGACTGGTATTATTAGTCAGACATCACCTAACTTATGAGAGAAGCTTAACGAACCAAAGATTTGTTTTGAGATCTTATTATGATGTTATCATAACGGCCTGGGCCGTGTGACTTATTATTCATTAGCAGTAACTTCTTCGCATCATGATAACATAATTCACGATTGGTGTTACGCTGTCTTGCAGTACCTGATTTAGAAAACTTGTACCCATCTTCCAGTATTGCTGGCGAAAAGAATCTTCCGAGGATTGTGGTCAAACACCGCTGATCCCAAGCATCGGTGACTCGGCCTCCATAGGTTATCTAGGAATAGATAAAATTTATCTTGTCAAGTTTTCTTAACTGTTGCCGGGTGGAAAAAGGGAGAGGTATGGTGAAAGTTGGAGTATTTAACTATTCGCACAGTAAATGCGCTCTCTCAATCCATGTTCTATAGAGATAATATAAACGAAGAGAATAAGCTAATAGCCATACTAAAGAGAAGGCATGTAAGCAAGTGAGTGTCATTTTGGAATCTGGAAAGAAAAGAGAACGGATTTAAAGAGAAGCGAAAAGAAAATATGTCCTAGACTTCCTCCCCTTCCTCATCCCTGTTCCTCTCCACACCCCTGTTCCTCTCCCCTCCACACCCCTGTTCCTCTCCCCTCCCCTGTTGCCCTCCATACCCCTTGTTCCTCTCCCCTGTTCCCCTCCACATCCCTGTTCCTCTCCCCTCCCCTGCTCCCCTCCACACCCCTGTTCCTCTCCCATCCCCTATTCTCTTCCCCATCCCTGTTCCTCTCCTCACCCCTGTTCCCCTCCACACCCCTGTTCCTCCCCCTCCCCTGTTCCTCTGCACACCCCAGTTCCTCTCCACTCCCCTGGTTCCCCTCCACACCCCTGTTCCTCTCTCCTCATGTTTTTCTCCACACCCCTGTTCCTCTCCCCTCCCCCATTCTCCTCCCCATCCCTGTTCCTCTCCTTACTGGTACTTTCCATGCAGATGTGTTCCAATCACCCCAGTCCTCTTTCAGTCCACAAGCTATCTACTGAGCTAAGCAATGAATAGGTTACCTCTCCTGTGATGAAGGTCAGCGCATCCCATGGAATCTGTCCTTCTGCTAAGAACATCTTTAAATTGTCTAGTGCTGATTCGCGATCAGAGTCGTTGAACTCGTACTAATGATGAAAGTGTTGACAGTAAAAGTTAAAGCGGAAATGCAAAACCAGAAGGTATCCAAACTATTTCACGACTAAAGGGTCTCTGACGTAGTAACTCTCATAAGGAACCTAAGGTTTTTGCATTAATAACAGGAAAAACTCATCGTAATATTCAAAATTTAGAATCAAGTCGCTTACTAGTTTAAGGAACGGTTACACCACTCACCTTGATGTTCCAACCGAGTGGACCAAACTTCTTTCTTTCCTGAATGATGGCATGAAAGAAACAAATTCCGAACACCAGCTTTCTCCACGTCACACCAAGAACTACAAGTTAAAAGCAGACTTCAAAAACAAAGTCGCACATCACTCAAGAAAAAAAAGACCCGAGAAAGTCCCATTGAGAAGTAGCTTGAAGTTAAAAAAGAACCTCTGAGTAGTTTGCATCAGTGTGATTTGCGTGAAGTGGAGCGAAAGGGACACAGCAAGGTTAAACACCCGAATTAAATCTACAGTAACTGGCCAGCGATGACCCATTTATTCTCATCTGCACGAATGCGAAGAATGATAAATGTGGCTGATCACGTAGCCATAGCAAATGATTGAAGAGCCATACTGATATAACAACTTAGCTGAAGAAATAAAACTTCCGCTGTATCACAGCACTAATGACGAAAGTAAAGGAGGTAGCTCTTACTATGGTTTTCAAAGGAGTCAGAGCTGAGCTCTCCAAACGCTCTCTTGACATTGGCTCGAAGTCCCTTCGGGGGTTCATTCGTCACTTTGACGCTGTTCTGTAAAACCGTTACAGGAAAACTTTTTGTTGGCATGGAGCTCAAAAACAACCGGAAGTCCTCGTGTACTTCCGCCTCTGGTGTCGACAAATTCTTTATAAGGGTTTCCATTGCCAACATCCACGAGGCAGCGAGATGACAATTCTAGAAAAATAAAACGACAAGTATAAGAAGAAACCAATGAAAGCTACACGACAAAAAACACTCGAAGGAGAACAATAAGGGAGAAATAGAGGGAGCCTTTCTAGATCTGCTTAAATTGTTCCAAAACCAGACCAAGTCCAACCGATTAAGTCACGATAGTGAAAAAAACTTTTACCTGTAGGAAGATCCAGTCTCCTGTCTTTGTTGCGTTAGCGATCATTTTCTCTGCTACAGGCCCTTGTCCTTGACCCAACGAAATTGCCTGTACCCTAGATAGAAAGTGCACATATATGTATACCAATATTAGAGGCTAACCTTATAGACCCCTTCAGTTCATCTCTTAGAGGTCATTCATGACCAATCACCTCTAAACCATTTGAATTGCTAAAGTAATAAAACAAAGAGATGCGATTTTACCTTTCGCTGTAACTCATGTCCCTCGCAAATCTGAGGAAGGCGTTCATTGGATCGGAGCCAGTAGAGAGAATGAATATGAGAGGCGTGGTTGGCCCTACATCAGAATACAGAGTATTGAGGTCTATAGACGGACTCTCCACAAATGTCTTGCCAAGGTTCTCACAAACGAAATCCACAGCAGCAAACACCACCTACGGAATAATTACACAAAACGCCAAAAATTGTCATTAAAATGAACTCGCCATGGCGCTGCTTATCTTAGCAGCTAAAAAACAATTTGTCGTTAACGCGATACTCAACAAAGGAGGAGAAAGCTACGGACAACGAACATTTTCATTTTTTTTCCAAACAGGGTTGGGAATATTTTTTTTGCAGCACACAAAAGAAAGACGTTTACCTTCTCTTCTCTGAATGATTTGATAAATACCAATTTCTGGAAACTTGAGAGGCGATCAACTAGACTAGACTGTTCCTCTGCCTCTTCAGTGGCTTCTGTGCTTTCGCTTGTCGCTGTTGATCGACCGTCACTGTCCTCTTTACTCGCCGTTAACAGTGGAGAGTTTGCGCATGCCTGGTGCAAGGGAGAAAAATTGTCTACCCATGAACACGTGATCCATTGGCGGGAAATGTATCATATGTTCAGATTTAAGAAAATATTTTCCTGAACATTTTCAATCCCGGAAGAAGTAATCCGGCAATAGTTTGCTATAGGGATAGTGGCGTGGTAGTTAACGGCCTGGGCCTAGTTGTATATACGACGGATAAATCGCTAGCCAGTGGATAAGTGATAGCAAAATGCATAGCGTTATCCACCGGATGGAGATTTATCCAGTGCATAGCGTTATCCACTGGATGGAGATTTATCCAGTGCATAGCGTTATCCACTGGATGGAGATTTATCCAGTGCATAGCGTTATCCACCGGATGGAGATTTATCCAGTGCATAGCGTTATCCACCGGATGGAGATTTATCCAGTGCATAGCGTTATCCACCGGATGGAGATTTATCCAGTGCATAGCTAGCGTTATCCGACCTTCAAACTACCGGGGCCTGGTTGGTTAAAAAGAAGCAGGAAGGTTAACATCAGGATTTCAAAGGCAATCTTTACCTCAACTGAGCCGATCTTGACTATGACAGGCTTGCTGACTATTTCCTGTTTCAAGCCACCAAACGCTGGAAGGGAATCCTAAAAGAAAGCCATTACATAGCAAAAGAAAAAGGTAAGTTAGCACAAATAAAAGATCTGGTAACACTGGTCACAGGCTAAAGAAATGTCCCATAAATTTCATTCCAAGTTTACCGTTTCACAAAAGCTTTACATTTTCATCCCTCCCCGGTATATCACGAACTCGTCTAACTTGGCTTCCTGGCTGAGTTAGTAAAATCGCTACCTCTGTATCCCACAACAACTTGACAACAACTTTGATAGTGTACATAACTCTCACGATCTCATGTTTGTCAGAAACAATTCGTTTTCATCGCGTAAACTGTGATGTTCCTTTGCTTCGTAACATGATTTAGACTGTTTGTTTGGGTACTTTGAACAAGTTGTAACACTGCTAAAGCCAGGTATAGTTTTGGCCTCTAAAGGTATTTCAAACACACCTCTAAATCACAGCATGTGTTCCAGGTTTGTTCTGTTAGCCAGGCAATATCGGGCTTTGGTGGACGTTCCTGTGACGGACGATATAAACAATGTCATTTTGATTAAGAACTACTATTGTTACGAGAACTGTTTGAACATGCAAAATGTACTAGAACTGCACACACGAGTTCCCTGACAAGTGTCTTTGCCTTACCTTGTCCAAGCTTCCACTTCCTCTGAGGAAAAAATTCCATTCGTTGTCTGATATGTCTTCTCTTTGACGCATAATCTCACCACATAACATGAACGAGAACACAAGCTTGTCTTTTTCAAACAGACCCCTGAAACACAAAGGAACACCGGTAAGACAACCTTAGATATCAGACGTGTTGTGAAATCTATCTCATAGAGAGTTCCTATTTTCATTTTCCACCCCAAGAGCAACTTAGCAAAGACTAGCGGGTAAAATTACTCAAGGTTGTATTAACGGGTGTAAAAAGCCTTGGGGGTGGGTGCTTTTTCCTCGGTAATCGAAGAAGGAAGATTGAAAGCCGGTTATGGAAAACCCAAAACACGCAAATTTTCTGCGCAAATGATTCCAAATAAATCAACAGTGTAAGGTCCTTCTTTTAATAAAACCCAGGATTTTGACAGTAATTAGAAAAGGCTAAAAAGAGAGATTTAGCGTAACTGAGAGAGCGCCGCACTACCACAAAAGGCGAAGGTTGGGGCATTAGCCCCAGTTTAGAGCAACTGCTTCAATCTTCCTGAAAACCTTACAGGCCTTTTATAAGAAGAAGCACTCTTACCGTGCCACGTTGGTGTAAACAGAACTAGTGCAATTAGCCAGCAGAATTTGAAGTCTCTTGTCCAAGTCATCTGTCTTCTCGCTGTTCTCGATGCAAGTATTGAACAGCTTTAAGAAAAATAAACAAATAGATACAATTCATTTCTTTAATCAAAAATCAAACTAGCAAAACTGACATCTACTAAAATATCTATAGACGCACATATTATACCTGCTTAAAGTATTTGAGGGAGTACTGGTACATAGTGTCCACCTCGGCCATGCTCGCCACCACAAAGTACATGACAGAGCCGCGTGTAGCTACTGGGCGGTACTTCTCGCGCGCCGTTGTTATCTTCTCCTCAGTCATCTCCGCCTCTTTCAGCCGAGTACTAATCACTCCTGAAGTGACCTGGTGAGAAGGCGAAAAGGATGAGATAAATAACCTGACAAAACCGCTGTCATAAAATGATAACTGGAGCTAAGGTAGTTATGCGCTCTTACCTTGGATTCATTGAGAGTGTTGATAAGCACTTCGTCATCGAGAATATTCCCTTCAGAGTGAAACAACAATTTAAGGATTCTGTCCTCGATGGCCTTCAGTTGGTTTTTGTCGGAGTTTATTCGCACAATCAGCTGATTTCTCTGATCTTCTAGATCTGGTCTTTCCAGACGAACAACATCACTGCAAAGGAATTTAACACTTATTCCATGAACGTTTATCTTCGCTTTAAATTAAGATTAAAAAAAAATCGGTTAAGCCTTAGTTCTCCATCTTCACGCAAAGGCTCAAATATCCTTAACCTTTAAAGTGCAGGATCGTAATTACAACTGTCTGCCAAGATAGAGAACTCTCAGCCTTCGTACGGCTTTAAATAAAAAAAATCAACTCGTTAGGAAATAAGAAGAGTTAATTTCAAGAAATTCCAGCAATGACAAGTCACAATACCTGAGCAGCTGATCCTCCAGGCCTGACTTGGTGACAGTGAAGTTAATGATGGTCACTTTGATGCATACTTCAGGTAGATAATGAGGATTGGCGAGTTTAGTTGTCATATAAAACCTGCCGAGAAAACATGTTGATTGCAGTTAATGGTCGACATTTAACAATTTGTTATCATATTTATCAAACGTTGCTGAGCTTAGTTTTGGGAATGACAAAGGTAATATTTTAACTCTAGGAGTTATTGTAACGGCAGCCAAAACAAATATTCTCCAAAATTGAAGTTAAATGTAAAGTTATAAATAACAAATAACATACTTGAAGTTCTTGTCATAGTCGATATCACTATCACCCAGACGGATTAACAGACGTCCACCCTACACAAAAGAAGGAAATTAGCATCACCAAAGAAAACAGGGAAGCTACATCATTATGCGTACAACACGGCTTGTTGTGGTGATTTCACCAAATTCTCACTTAACCTGTGTAAAAGTCTGTTTCAACAGGATTGGTTCCAGAGCAGGATCCAGAGTCTCGCCAACTTCCTCTAATAGCACAGGCATACCAATACGGATACAGTTCTCAAGAGTACGCAGGAAGTTCTGGTCAGTAAGCTTGACCACTTTAAGACCATTCTTGGCTTCTTTGGCTCGGATCCATCGATTGGCCTAAAACAATATGACAGAAAACAAAAAAGAATGCTTCCTTCAACAAAGTTGCGACAGGACCTTCAGTAACAGGTATCTTTCTGTTTCCTTTGCTCCTCATGTAAAGTCTCTTTACTAGAATTATCATTTTCTTTATTACACTTTCTATAATTTTGCTCTGATGAGGGTCTCTCTATGTGTCTGTCCGACTGACCTCTCTCCGCTAGCTAACTCGTTCAATTGTTTGTGTTTCTGTAGGTCTTATTTAAACTAACCTGATCCTGGGGATCAATCATTAAAGGCCATCGCCGACCTCTGGTCACCAAAATCGCGTTCTCTATTGACACCTTCAAGAAAAAGTAAAGTAAACGTGACATGGAACTGGAGAAGTCATGGCTACAAGACGGCTTAGGTAGCAACCTGGGAAATGTGCAGGAATGGCGTGATGAAAGGGAGCGGACTAGACAACTTGAGAGCTCTACCAAGAAAAATCACTAGTTTTAAGCATTTTGAAAAAAGGACTAAAAAAGTGGGGATCCAAACCACTGACTTCCGTGGTTGAGCTAACAAATTAGCAGTTACAAAAAAAAAAAAAGAAACGTTTGTACAACAAAAAAAAGTGTGAAAGTGCGAGTCAAATGTTGCATGCTTCTTTTAAGAATAAAAATGACATGGTACGTCCAAAGGATGCAACAGCATTGGAGAGAGGAGAAAATCTGAATTGAGGTATATCTCACGACCTACTTTCGGAACACTATCCCAACTTACCGAATCCCTCGGAAGCCCATCAGCATTCCACTGTCTAATTTCAAAAGGATCTGCCAGCACATTGATGAGACTAAAGTCGTCTGACACAGGAATTTCTAATTCTTTACAGCGTTGAATCCAAGATGAGATAAGCTCCTGGCGGTAATGACTTGTAAATGCCCCAAAGTAAGCCACACAAGCTGCCGCCACGAAAACATTTCCGACCACGTTACCAATCTCCAGTTCAAATGCCTGTGATTTGAAAAAGGAAGGAAGCATTAAACCTCACTGGATGATTTTAAGAAAAAACTTCCTTTCCCTCCCCATCCCTATTTCAGAGGAGTTCACCTTCTTACGAGTGATTCTCATAACAACAGTCCAGATTCTGAAAGAGACTCCACTTAGATCGATGATAAAATACAACGGCGTTTGAACTTTGTGATAAAGCGAGCCTTAGCCGTACTACAGGCCACGCGTGAATAAGAACAATCTGATGACGCCTTACCGCTACATTCTCTGTCCAGCGTCCCTGTTCGTCTCCTAGGGCTGTTGTCAGCTTGGATGCCCTCTTCAGACGAGCCGCGGTTTGTGCGATGTTCTTGGTCAGCGTTTCCTTTTCAGCAATACTATTGTCATAAGCTGCTTGAAGCTCTGCAATCTTTGGTTGGAAAAATGTAAGTATTAATAATAAAATAGTGCATACTCATTCAAAATATCGTCTGACGGCCTCCCGGTTAGCTCAATTGGTTAGAGCGCCGGATTGTGTTGTGCGGGAGGTCGAGGGTTCGAGCCCCGGCCGGACCGATACTCATGGTCTTAAAATAAGTGAGGAGAATTTGCCACCTTTCTATAATCAAGAAATGGATAGATATTCTAGTCTTCTCGGATAAGGACGAATAAACCGTAGGCCCCGTCTCCTGCAGGGTTAGGGGTAGGAGACGTTAATTTCCCACGCACGAGAATACTGTGTTGTGGATGTCCTCCCTTGGGGTGGGATGGGTGGGAATTGGCCCTGAAAAGCCCCCATGGGGAGTGGTCAACTAACGTACGTACGTATGTACGTACGTATGTATGTATGTACGTACGTATGTATGTATGTATGTATGTATGTATGTATGTATGTCTGTCTGTCTGTCTGTCTGTCTGTCTGTCTTAGAGTGGCTTCTTTTGTGCACAGTCGGTATCTGAAAGTCGACTGACTCTCAACCATTACATCTAATTTCAGTGCATATCGTAACAGCTACTTTTTACAGAGTTCGTAGATATTTCCTGCATAGTAAATTCAAGTACAAATTATAATTGTCATTTTAAGCAGTTCTCAAAACCATGAAATTTTTCAAGTTTTGTTCAAGGTAATTAATGTCTATTCGGCTATCTTAGAAGAATCTCACCCAATAAATTTTTTTTCCATCCAGGTACTGAAATTTAGTCGGAAAACTTCAACCTCTTTTCAAGACTTAAGAGCCCCACATCAAACTTAAGGGTTTGATATTCGTACTCAAGGGGCATTGACAAAAATGAAAAACAAATACTACCTCGACGGTCAACCACAAGTAATCTGTAATACAAAAGAAAATTTTCAACCCCGAAGAGAGGATCTTGGCCTCACATCGTATCGTTTTAAGTATGATACCTTTTCCTCAACAGCAGCTAAACTATCTTGCTTTTCTTTTAATGTCGCCATAACAGCATCTAATTCCACCTGAGCAGCAGCGAGTCTGAAGAAAGATAACGAGTGATTAACCTTTTACAGCCTAACATCAGTATGCTTATTCTCCACACTGTTCTCTATACATTTCCTGTGGTGTTGACATGGAGAATTTGTTAACTATCACGAGCTTCTTAAATTGTTGATTATTTGCTTTATTCTCGTAACCTTAATGTTTGATCCAGAGGTGATATTGTAAGGAGAAATTAGATGCGAGTCACTCTCGGAGGTTACATGGCTGGGGATGGCTCAAGAGTTGGCGTTAACATGCATCGCAGCATTCATGTTTGTTAACTGTCTGTTGGCAGACAACACTTCCATCAGCCACGTTCATCATTAACCAAACGTGCCGCAATCACTGACTAGCGTAACATTTGTTGATAATCATATTCAAAGTCAAATAACGTAACTTATGAGAACACTGAGAATGCTGTTGTTTGACTAAATACAAGATACCTTTTGTTCTTGGGCTCCACCGTGCGGAACACTCGAGCATACAAATCCATAGCGCGAACCCACATCACCATGGACCGGCACGCCTAACGAAACAAGGTCCGTTAGACAGTTGATTAGAAAATTAAAGGATCACCGCTACAAGCACCCAGCTATCTAAAATGACCTTGACCTATAAATTACTTTAACTCTTCCTACCAACCTCAAAGCTGGCAAAAGTTCCTCCTCCCCCTCTTCCCCCTTCGTGTTTAATGAAACGGCTTTTCATCTTTATTTTCAATGTCATCATTGGGGGGAGGAAGAGAGATAGCTGAATCAATATTAAAACACCAATACCAAGATCATTCGTAGGAGATATCAAGTGAGGGTCTTCTCTGTTTGTTTTTAAAAGGTGGCCCAAATAACTCTACCTAGGAGGATTGTAGAGGCGTTGATGTGACAAAAGAAAGCATGAAAAAGTCGTGGTGAACGTTCCTTGCTGAGGATAGATACCACGGAAAGCAATAAGTCAGTTAATATGTTCTGTTCCACGCTTAATACAAACGGATCTACTAACAAGATTTTGTTACGGACAGGGAAATAGTAACGAGCGCAAAATGATTCAGCTGCTAAGCACTCGTCAGAACTAATATTCGAGAAAGGAGTTGCTACTTCAAATATTTAACAACCAATATCTTCTTCAACAAGGAGCAAATGCATCAATATACAGTTTACGTCTAATAAAGCTGATTAAGGGCTAATTAACCCACCTTCGATACTTTCTCCACATTTTCTGGCGTGAACTTGGGGTTTTCTATGTACTTTTTCAGTTTCTTCAAAGTAGAATCCGGAATATTGTCCTAGAAACAAGACAAGCAGATGTATATAATGATTAGTATAAATATTTTGTGGCAAAATCAAACTATTGCACAAGCAGAGGAGCAGAACGTCTTGAAAAGAATATCTTAAAAGAATTAAGATTCTGCAAAGAAGGTAGAGGATGAAATCTTAATTACATGGCAGGCACATACTTCTAGTTACACGACAAGCAAGCAATGGTGCATCACAAATCTTAAATAAGTGATGACTTCGCGGTGATTTGTACTGCTTGGAATACCTTATTCAACTAGCTAATACTGTATGTTTGTGAAATAAATACTATCAAGAGCAAGAATTAAAACCACCTTTTTGGAGAGACTTGTAAAAGACTGCGTAATCATAAGAATCTAATTTCACACGAGTTTAAATATGAAGTATTCAGTACCTTGTTATATTCCATAAGCCTGGTCAAAAACTTAGCGTCACCAAGCAAAGACTTTGCTGCTGCCCAGTCAGGCCTGAGGAGTACATTAAAATTTAATTAACAAACTAACAAACGACGAAAAGTAACATTCTTTGAAAGCAGTCACTAAACATTGGCCAAATAATTTCACGAAAATCAACACGTAAGTAGGGAAGAATTCATTAAAGAAGGTCGCAGTTAGTGGCCAAAAGACTAATCACCTTGTCAGTCAGATTTCTACAAATTATGTCATCGGAGCGTGGAATGAACATTTTTTTGCTTCGATTTCTAAATCAAGCAAAGAAATTATTCACGCGGGTTTTCTGCAGTTTAAGCAATTGCTGAAAAGAAGCCTGGAAAATGTCAAGGTTGGACAGGATCCGAACCCGTACCTCCTAGATACTATGGTTGGACTGTGCTAAAAACTCAGCCACCAAGCCACATTTTGGAAATTGAATAGTTTCGCAAAAACTTTCCTATATAAGGTGACTGATGCTGACATGAATGAAGCTTGAAAAAATTTGCGAATTTGGCAGAAGGCCCTCGAGAAATAATAGCATCTCCCAAAGCCACCTTCGGTTGTGTTCTCCTAACATGAACATCTTCCACATACAGAATCAAACTTACTTTGCATTTAACAAAATACAGATGGACTCCATAACCGTCATGACGAGCTCAGGGGGACTGGTGAACACACGTAACTCGGATATATCGGACTTGTCCAATGAGTCAAGGGCCTATAAGTGACAGAGATAACCAGTTATCTTCAAACTTCACTGAACTTGCGGTTTTTTTTATCAGCACAGCCAAGAAAGGAAGCAAGTAGAGGTAAAGAGGCTCAAACTGAAGGACTTCATTGTAGACAATGCGTAGTGTTATATTCTACTTCGCTACCCCGCTCAAACGAATATGATAAAACATTTATCATTCAATAAGCAACCACAATTGAGGTGTGTCAACACGAGTCGTATGCAACCCTCTTTAGTATACCTTCATCAATAAAATGGATAGGAATGGTACATCAACAGAATGAAAACTCGGAAATGTAAAATAGAGCAAGAAAAACCACCCTACAAAACAATCTAAACTATGTTCGTATATGCAAAAACTACTCCTTAGAGAATCTGATGATCCCTAGTCACTGACTATTTAATTTTGAGGGCGTAGGGACGGTCGTAGGACGCGAATGAATATAAATGACAACAACTCGAATATATAGCCTACCGCTAATGAAGTAATTGTAACAACATACCATGTAACACCCCAAAGAAAGGGTTACGTAACCCATGATAAATACATGTACTTTCAACTGATTGCAATTCAAGTCCATTTTATTACTACCCCCCTCTCCCACCATTTAGGATTTTGTCACGTTTCCCTGACCAATTTATACTCCTTACCGGAGTGAAGAGAGGCACCGTGGAAACTTAAGGGTCTCTCTAAATAACAAAACGCAATAACCCCCCGCCGAGACTCCAACTAGGGGCTCTCTCGATTCAGCGTGAAACACACTAACCTACAAACCAGCAATGCAATGCTGTATCATTAATTTTCATTTTCTTCCAAAGCTATAATTCAGCCTAACTTAGAGGCAGTCTAAACACATACCTTGTTGGCAGCCTCCAGAGCAGGTAAGGCCTCGTCCAAGTCTTTCTGTGCTTCTGCTGCAATAGCTTGGGTTTCATCTGCCTTTCCTTTGGCTACTTCCTCTTCCGCTGAAACGACTTTTCTCACCTGAAGAAATGAGTGGAAAACTCAAATTGTCCAATTGGTTATAATAGAATAAAACCTTACTTGAAAGAGACTCCGAGCCATTTAATGGTTAACTTAAAGAAGGGAAATTTTGAACGTATATAGTTAGAACATTATGGAAAGGAAATGAGGCAAAACTATCTATAGATGTTCTTATACAAAAGTGAAGCGTCTAAAAATTGTACTATCATCACATTCTCAAATCCAAGTGCCAACCATCGTAATAAGCGAGAAGACAGACGAACGCAGCTAAATAACAAAGGTACAGAATATATGTGTAATTTATCTCACACAGACCTTGTCAGCTTCCTCCTGATCAGTCTGTAGTTTGTCCATGAGCTTTTCTACATCAAGTGATTTCTGTTTCAACTGTGGTTCTAAAGCCACTAACTCCACCTGCATGTTATCTACTAAGTCGTTAGTTTCTAGAAGCTTCTTCAAGCCATTCTTCACGCGGTCACGTGCACCAATCAGCTGTCTGTAAAATATGCGGGTGTTACAGTTAGTTAAAACACAACGGAGTGATAGCTATCCAACCTCTTCGCTGATGTAAACAAAAAATGAAGGCTACTGAAAGTATGAAGCAAAAATAGGAGTGTTGAAGGGGTAACCAGTCGTACAAATATCTATTATTATCACTTGTCGGGCACTGTGGCGCATTTTGCGCGCTAAAATGTATTTAACTCCGCTTCACCTACGCGAGATTGTTCAGACTAGTTAGTTGTCCATGTTTTTAAAGTCTTTTGTTTTCTCAATGATAATAGTGGTAATACAGTTTCTGTTCTTGAGCATAAATATGTTTTTGGGCCCTCTTAGAGTCATTTCAACATAACTCTGAGTAGGGCCCAAAATATATTTATCCCCAAGAACAAAAACTCTACTGTTTAAAAGTAAATTATTAATTAGACAGCATCACACAATCAACTTCGACCTTTTCAAAAGAGAAATAGAGAGCTGTGATTGATGTTCGCTACACTTTGGTGACTCTAAGACAGTAAAAATACTTCACCTTCGTTTGTCGTCTAACATGGACAGATACAGGTTAATAAGCTCCAGATAACTGGTTGGGGTTGTGTAATATCGGCGACGCAATTCAGCGTAAAACCTGTCCGCCATAGAGCTAACACTCGTGTGGATTTCAACACACATTTCGGCCACTCTCTCCTACAATAAAATCACGAAGTAAACAGTCTAAAAAAACATTAACAAAGGATTTTGTTGAGCACCCCGGGTTTAAAAAGAAGACCACGAGCCAGCCACTAGAAACGCCTCAAGAGCCTCTAAGGATGGTTAACCTTGACATCACCAAAATGCTTAGCAATGCTATTTAAATGACAACAAACCCAAACTTATAATACCGCTTGAAAATGAAAATGAACAAAATGCAGCTCATTCTAACCTTAACATCTCCTGCACCCAAGTCCACTTCTTCGAAAAAGTTCTTGGAGACAGACAATAAAGCCTCCCTACCAAAAAACAAGGTGTTTTGAAACGGTCAGCCAGCACAGATACTGTTTGCCAACCAGAAATAGCACAATACAAATAAGTCGCCTTTTTCAATAACTTTCGAAACAAATCCATGAGGTTTTGGCGATTAGAGATGGCAATAGGAAGTAATCTGCAAGTAGCTGCAAACACGCTTATCCCCAAATTGTAAAACACACAGTCTTATTACAAATGATTTGTATCAATAGCAGGCAGATTGAGAGATAATCAGACATGAAAAATTTTTCAGAACAGGCATTTTATTTGATACATCAGCCTTGCGTCAATTCCCTCCATTCTCTGTTTCTTAGCTGAGCCTGGACAACTTGCTCGCTAAAGATTTTCCCTGATTTTCATTGGCTAACATTAGTGAGGAAGTTAAGTTTCATTAACTAGTAGCATTTAATGTCTAAATTTCATTTGCTCTTTCATACAAAACGCTTGTAAATGGAAAATTCACCAGCCAAATGAAGCAACAAATAAAGGTTGTTAAGAACCAATCAGACTACAGCATTTTTTATGAGACTTAGACAATAACAAGTTGATATCAGCATTAGTGTTGTTTTGGTGATAGATACTGAAGTTATCCAAAAGTACGCTGACCGGACTTAGAACATGGTTATGATTATGATCCAAGTGTTTCACTAAACTGACCTTGGCCATTCGGTGAACCAGTCAATAGTACAACAGTTCACCAGAGAGGGGAACATACGGCAGCGAGTACGGAACGCATCTCCCACAGGACTCATGCAAAGTACTACATGAAGGTTATTCCGAACACGGCTGATGAAGTGATTGAACACGGCATCCCTGAGATTGAAGAAAATATCGAGAAATTTAAAATCTGTGCAACAACATAACAGAGCCATAGATGATAATGGACAAATAGAAGAGAGCTGTGAGGTTCAGCGTCAGATCCAATATTCACCTGTCGCCTTCAGGAACACCAGCCTCCTTGGCGTGAGGTCGGGTTCCAATCAGTACTTGTTCATACTCCTCTGGCTCAAACAGGTTTGGGACCTGATGACAAACAAAGTGCACATTTTTATTTTACCCACGTTGGTTCATTAACACATCGTAACATTTTTTAAAAATTCAGCGAAGTAAGGAGTATTTAATAGGACAGTTAAAATTTAATCACAAATCTTCACAAACACTTCAAACATTCTCTGTAAATGGACAACAGAGCAATTAAACAATAGTCATATAAACTATTAAAAACATTGATACTGGTTAATATTAACATCCAAATATTATTATCAATAATTAATAGTCAATAATATTAAATATTATTAACAATATTGGACAAAAGTCATATAAACAAGTATCATAAACATCACAAATACCTCCCCAGAGTTCAAGATGTTATTGATGTCTTCCAGGAATTCCTCAACAACGATCTGCACAAAATTGAAATTACATAAATATTTTATAATAATAATATGAGCCTCATTCTGCGAAATTTGTTGATATAGCTTTATGTTTCTCTCTCAGTGTAATAACACATGTCATTGTGTGGTAGCAAAGTATAAGAAGTGGAGCAATCTCTAGAGCCGATAAAAATCCATGATTATGATAGCTTTGCTTTATTTGAAAACTCACGCCAACCTCTGAGCAATTGGATCATGAGAAAAATCATGACTAGGACAGTGCTCTCGTCCAGCACTTCAGGCGATTTACTTCTATTTCCTTCACAATCTCATTGGTTCCTTGTGAAAAATTCTTCTTTTTTGAGATTGACCAATGTAATTACTTAGTTTTACAGAAGTCAGTCAAACCGCACTACAATGTATGACCGTGATATTCAACAGGGGTGCTTACCTGAGTATCAGTGAATAAGAACACTGTGTTTTTTCCTTCCACTCCAGCTGATGTGTACAATTTTTTAAGATCTTCCCGGAATGAGGAGTAATCGTAGCCACGAGTCAGCTCGATTTGAAAGCACAGGTAACCAGCCATATGACATGCCAACCTAAGGAACAACGCCAGAATTGTTTTTTTCAAATAAGCTTAATGCAAGTGTTTCTTCAAAATTGTTTGTGTATGAATGCTCCTTAGAATTCAAACAATTTGCCGTTACGACCTAAAAAAGCTATTTTGATAGTGAATCGATCACAACAATTAAAAAATCACTAACTTTAGCAATGAGAATTGTAGAGACGTTGTAAGAGAATGATCATGCAAGGCAAGTTACCTGGTAAGACTCTGTTTTCCTGTTCCTCCTACACCCACAAGCAGAGCATTCCCACGCGGCTGACGAACCATTCGGGCAATTCTGCAGAAAAACACACATTCATCAAACCCCAAATTGCTGGGAAGGAGCCATCAAAAAGTCTCACAAACAGTGTATGAACTAACAGCTGACCTTGAGACATGTTCTATGGCATCCATAAAGAACACAAGCTTCATTTCTTTAGAAGAGTTCATATTGTAGTCATCAAGATACTAAATAGAAAGACATATACAAATAAGAGTCACATCAGGAGGCGGTTTGGCCGAGTGGTTAGGGCGGGGGACTCCTATCTGGCAGTTCTGGATCTAGTCCTCTACCCCGCTTCTCACTGGATTTGTTCTTGGTTAACCCGAGATCAACTCCGTGGCTGTGCTTTGTACATAGCCAACTGGTCTGTCTTCAGCCATTTGGGAATTTTAACATCATGGTCACTTATAATATTTGTTTCCAATTTGTTTGTATTGGCTTTGAAAAGCCCGATGGGGGAGTGGTCGAATTAATGCTATAATTACTATTACTAATATTATTATAATAAGTATTACTACTATTTTTATAACCATAATCAGTTTCCTTAGAAGATTACTTCAAAGAGCTAAGTCAACATAGCTTGAGCCATTTTTATGACGTTTAGGACTACCCCTTTAACTTACATGAGAGAACATAACATTACTTTGGTGAGAAAGAAAAACACTCGAGGCACAGATGAATGCTAAGGGCGATGATTCAATGAATGGCAAATTTAGGATCAAGACGTTGTCGTTTCTTTCATTATACGTGCATGAGATGGAAGTCTTTAAGATTCAACCCTTTTTACCATGATCATTGCTGTCATGGTTCGTATAACTTCAGACAAACAAAATTCAAGGACTTTTCAAGGACAAAAAATGGTTTTCAAGGACTAAGTTTTATTCATAAATCTAAACCATTTACGATTGAATACACATTTGCCTATCGCTCAATTAAATTGAAAACAAAGGGAAATGAAAAAATCATCAACCAAAACATAGCCAAACCACTACATGTTTAAGTTTCCCCTTAAAACAAAAGCACACGGCGGACTACCACACATCGGAGGCCTTGCGCATGAAATTGAGGCACACATCCAACTTTGATTCATGTACCACTCACGTTTTATACCGACCATTTTCGCTTTTTGGTAGTTACTAGTGGACAAATTTTCCATAGCAAAATTGTTTAATTTATCAGAAAAGCGATAAGGCGCACAGAAGTTGCTAAATTTCACGGACTTTTCATGACCTACTAGAGAAATCAAGTACTTTTCGAGGAATTAACCAAATTCAAGGACTTTTCAAGACGACCATTAAAATTCAAGACCTTTTCGAGATTGTACGAACCATGATTGCTATATTGTTAAAGGTTACCTAGAACATTGGAGAAAGATTTAAATGAACTTACATCAGCCAGAAGATTTTTCACTTTTGAGATATCAGCCAGCTCTTCGTAGATTCTGTCAGACGGGTCTGCACCCATCTTCATAAAGTCTCCAAACAGAATAGGGGCCGTTTCAAATTTCTCAGCTTGCACATTCTGATTACAGCATAAAAGGACACACAAACACTATGTTGTTGAAAGTTAAAAAGGCATATACGGTTTACAGTTAATTATTTTTACACTGCGGGCAGGACACGATGGCTGAATGGTTTGGGCGCTGGACTCTGAACCAAGAGGTCTTGGTTTTTAGTTCTGGCCAAGCAATAATGCTATGTACTTAGGGAAGACACTTTACTCTCGCCATGCCTTTCTCCATCGGGTAGTTAAAATGAAACCGTCAAACTGCCAGAGAGACCTAGCGAATTGCGGGGGGGTTGACAGTAAAGTACCAACATCCATCTTTTTGCTACCACACAAAGACATGTGTTATTACTCAGAAAGAAAAACATAAAACAATATCAACAAATTCACCTTACACTTTCTCTTTACAGTTCTGAGCTCCACAACTATAATTTTCGGTAAGTACAAGGATGATTATTGTTATAGGTTGCTAAATTTGGTTCGTTGCTGACAACGTTATTCATACCAAGAACTATACCTGGGAGAAGTGTTTCTGTGCCATTTCAGACAAAATGGCGTTGAAATAACGTTTGTCTTCTTTGTTAATTAGACGATCGTGAAATACTCTTTGTGCCTCGTGACAGAACAGGCGAAAAATCTGTCCAGCGTCTCTAATAACTCCAGGATCCGCCTGAAGTACACCTGAGAAGAATGGTAACAGATAGGTTAGCAAAAATCTTATTTTAAAAATCTTTGCTATGATAAACAAAGTCACCCACCTTAAAATGTGCAGAAGTGCTCATGAAACTAAAATGGTGAATTGATTTTCGAAATGTCAAAACCATTAACTGTATTATAACTGACAGACCAACCTTGAATGCATTTGGACAAATCTCTCAAGTTGAACACATAGTGAGATTTTGCAGGAGTCGGTAACAGGTCTGTACTCATACGAACATAGATCTCAACACTAAAGAGAGCAAACATGGAAAAAATGAAGAAATAGAATATAATGCCAATGTAAGTAACGGCATCAACAGGCGGGTCATCAGTTTATGGCTTTATTCTGTAACAGTTATGCTAAAATATTTTGACAAACGTTTCCACAGCACAACATTGACTTATGTAAAAAAAAAAAAAAAACCTCGCGATAAAGGTAAAACCAAACAGCAGAAGAAAAAAATAAACTCAGGACCAATAAAGAATATTAGTTCTAAAGGATAGACACAAATTACAAATAATAAATTAACCCTTCAGTTGCATTTCCAAGATCCCATAAGTGATTCTCCTTACTGTCTGCCGTACAAGTGTCATGATGTTAGCTAAGACAATTTGGTCTGTGATCAACTGATGATCCCCTACTTGAAATTTTTCTCTATCATATTCTCTTCACTTGTCTGCTTGATATTGTTTTGATATTGCTAGGAGAAAAATTCTGTCTAGGTCACCCGTGGAAGTTAGAGGATTAAGAACCTAAACACAGAAACTGGAGATGCCTGTTCATGGATAACCTATATAATTTTAAAAGGGAAGCCAAAAAAAAAAATTTATACCTCGCCCCAACAATCGCATCTGCGCATCCCCTTACGTCTTGAGGAAAGTCGACTAAAAAGCCGCTAACAATGGACTGAAAAAAGAAATGAAATAAATGTTTGTTGATAACTAACTCATAAATGGATATTTGATTAGTCCAAGGATTTGAAATAACATGCTTTCTGTTACCTTGAAGATATGTTTCAGAGTGTGCTCGGCAGACGACGGAATACTGAACATACTGAAGTGACGTAAGAAACGAGGCGTGACTGGATTTCTACCACCCCCTGGGGGAGCACAGGCTGCACAGATAGTCATGTCCTGTCATGAAAATAATGATTAAAATCTCAATCAACTGAATTAAAAAGCTGAGGACAATTGATTGACCACGACATAAGGTATGGCGTAGAACGGATGTGGTGCACTTACATGAATTTCCTTCCAGAAGAGTTTTTCTCTATCGTAAAATCCTCGAAAATCCTTCAAAAGAAAAGAAAATTCACATAATATATTGGTAGTCCTAAGTATTAACGTATACCCCATTCACACCAAAGGTTAAACATGTTTTAAAGCTGTTTTTTTACACACGGTTTAATGTTGTTTTCTACATAGAAGCTGCTTAAACCGATGTTTGTCAACGTCAAAATTAGCACATTGGAAATAAAAAGTCAGTGACTACTTGAAACCAATGGAAAATTCAATTTTTTTAAGTTTTCTGTTTCTGACTTTCATTCATGTTTTGCTGATCAGAATTGGGTCATAAATATGAAATCTTTTCCAACACAGCACAAAAATATTAACATGTTCCACCTCTCCGCAAGAATTAGACTTTATCAAATAAATGTGAGGTTACTTGGTACTGCCTGAGTAACTCAATGGGAGGCTGTGCGCCATAAGTGTCCAGCTTTGGCATGTTCAAATCATCGACAAAGATAATCATTCTTTTTCCTGCCGGTGCACCTATTAAATGTAAACAAAACGTTGTTTAAAAAACTCCTTACAGTACTCTTAAAAGAATCAACAAAGAATCGCGTAACTCATGATGACTTCCGATCGATCCTAAGAAACTTTTTTCAAATCAAATCTTCTTCTGAGTCTGAAGAGTCTGTGACGTTTATTCAGTGATTAGTTTCTTGAATCATAGGGTTCAAATGATATAAACTTTCACCACGTCTAAATATAACAATGAACACAAACCTAAAATATTCTTCCGTTTCTTTTCCAGTTTGACTTCAATCATTTCCTGAGTTCGTTGGCTGCTTGTCTGAGCAGAGAAGTTCATCATGATGGGAACATAGTTCGCCTTATCGCTTATGTCAGTCAGCAGTCCCTTGGCCACCACAGACTGCAAAATGATAAGAGTATAGAGTCTAGTTAGCCCCCTTTTATAGTTGTCATCATCGTTAAAATTATGCCGGTGGTATCAAAATTCCGTCTCGACAATACTGTCATAACCATTTTTCTTCGTGTCAAATATTATGAGAATGAAAATAAATTTTTTCTGTGACACCAGAAACACGCTCCTTTGTCAAGGACAGAGCGAATAATTGGCAACAGAACCGAAAAGGCAGTAAAATGTGGGAATCTGACGAGGGATTTGCCGCTTTCTTTTGATTCCGTTTCCCAGTTATTGGCAGTATCCTTAATCAAGGAGCATGGATCCAGGCTATAAACGAAACGAGTACATGTCAAATGGAAGTCTACTATCTAACCTTGCCAACGCCTGTCGTTCCAGTAAACATAACGGATCTATTGACAACAACCAGCTTCTCCATCAGGAATCCATATCTGACCGTGTCTACAGTAGGCACCAGCAGGTCAAAGTATGGGATCTCTGGGCTGTACTTAAATGATGGAATTATCTTTTCCCATGGTTCAAGACGGCGTGTGTCAAAATCCACGAAGTAACTGAACAGATCACCTGAACCTGGAAGCTGTGCAAAGAGACAAAGACTAGTTTAGAGCTTGTGCGAGGAAGCTTTGAAAAGACTTGAAAGGAATTTCTGTTTTCCTTTTTAACAATGCACTTCATTTATCCCTTACCTAAATTATAGTTACAATTGTCTCAGTATCATAAAATAATGAAAATGAAGGGTAACTGACAGCCCGAAAAAACCTTAATTACTTAAAAAATGCTACGTTGCCAGTTATTTACATAATTTCGCAGTTTATGGTCGTTTATTGAAATAAAAAGTTTACAATGTAGGTACACGAGTGCACTCAATAAAACCAGGTGAAGGAAATTTAGAAGAATAAAAGACAGTGCAAACTGCTACAAGACAATGAAATAATAACTTTTGGTAAGATGGTGTTCTAATTTGCGCTTGCGAGGGCTCATTGAAGTGCAATTCATTTTATTTTTTATTCTTTCACTTACCTTCACGTCCTGTGTATCTGAGAACAAGTCCCTCGAAAATGTGTCAAAAGCGTCCATAGAAGACTCTACTAAATTGCCACCAATACTCCACAGGAAAGTGAAGAGGAAGGCGGTGCAAATAAGCGAGTGTAACTTGTTGGCATCCATATTAAAATCTGGGCCTCCTTTCTCTGGAAAAAAAAAGCTTTCTAGAAGGCAGCACATAGTTGTCACTTTATTTATGTCGACCTGAAAAAAAGAAGTATTCAGTGTTATAGTTAGGTAAACACTTAAAGTTCTTTTGTCGCTCAAGTTACAAACTTTTAACAAATGTATGAACGGTTATAGCCTCAACGCCTTTGTTTTCTTGTCAATAAATCTTCATTGGAAGTTACGAGGCAATGGAAACTTTTCAAAGTTCGCCCTAGAACCCGTAGCAATTTCCTTTTACCAAATGTAGCCTGTCTACCAGTTACATTTCAACCCAGTTTACCTGTTGCATGGCTTGAACACATTTCTTCCTCGCAAAGTTGAGTCCGTTATCCACGTAATTCTCAAACAGATTCATCAGATACTCCTGTAAGCAAAAAGTCGTAAGAAAAATTGATGTGGACTTTCGATAATACAGGGCAATGACCACGGTACTGTATAACGACCGTATTTATCAGACAGAGTCACTCAAATTTGGCCCAAATAGAAGAAAATGTATCAAAAATGTTTTCGGCCAGGGCCCCAAAGATGCACAAGTGTTTTGTATTCTTCTACCCTTTTTACTGTGATTAAGACAAGGAATTATTGAATCACCTTTGTGAGCCTTACTTTTAGACTCAATGTATCTGTTACAATGTTTCTGAAAGCCGAGAACCAGATAAGGTTGTACAGCTGGCAATTTTAATTCAACATACTAGATAACTTCGTATCGTCAGCCTCTTCAGCCGTTAGAGAATTGTAAGAAAATCGTGCAGGACTTCGGAAGATGTACCAGAGAGCAGCTTGAAGAAACCTGGATTTTTCTCAGAATCATTTTGCTCTACAAGCTTTCCTGCGTAAACTGAGTATCTAACTACAAAGTTCTTACTTGAAATTCCCGGATTTGTGGATTTGTCCCCTTGTTTTTAAACAGAAAACCGAATACTGGATGTTGACTTGTTGATACTACTGGATGGCAAATCTACACGTAAAAACCGTGAAATAAATACCTTTGTTTCATCTTTCATCTTTGTACACGTTCTCTGCATCCAGGACTTGACATATGGCCTCCAGCCTAGTTCATTAGGGTCCATGTACACCATACCACACCTGAAATAAACACACACAAAAATCGAACAACACAGCGTGAGGGAGTGGGCACGAAGACACAGGCAACCAAAGATGTCGCGTGCGCCGCATGTATTTCATAGTTTTAACGGATCTATCATTATCGATTATGGTTGTGTCACCATAACGTTTATCTGATTCCCCTCCTAAGCTCTGTAATATTCTTATGATTCTCCTTCATTGGCAGCTATTGGCAGTCAATTTCCTATACGTAGTTCTCACTTTTGACTCTGTTGGCAACGAATAATCCCTCCTTCGTTTCCCCTGAAAACCACGTGGTACCCCAAATTTCTCCACCTCACCCCGGGGATAAATAATGACTGGTCCCTGACAACAAATTACTTTTTGATGGCGTGTTTTTAATCTAAACATTGGTGAACAGAGTTAGGAGCCATACCTGCTGACTGTAGCTGGGGAAGCAACAGCAAGATCCTGCACCTCGAACAACATGTGCATGGTGTTGTTGAGTTTGATTCTCTCACTGTTTGCCAAACAGAGCATCTTGTTGTCATCCAAAACAGTGTTCATGTTTTCGATCCATAGAGCGTCCACAGGACCATCGCAGACAATCCACTTGTGATCTTCAGTAGTGTCCTATTTGATTCCGAAGCAATGAAACAGTTGTTAGTATGAGAAAAAGATTCAAATGATCAGCTCATCTCAACACACGCAGCATACACGACCACTAGCCACGTCACAGGCCATGACATTGCATCGTACCTGAACACAAACTCTAACAGTGACGGCCATGAGTCCGTCTCTCCATTCCATTGTGAGCTTGTTAATCTCCCCGTACAGCTCTCCCATACTAACAGCCTGTAATAACAAATAGGAGGAACTGACAAATGTGCTAACAACGCGAATTGACTTCCTTAGAAGAAGCACACCTAACGACAGTAAAATTCGATCATACCTTGGGATTCAACACGTATGTGCGAACTTTTTGGTAATAAGGATTTTCGTCTCCTTCTTCGTGTAATGTTGTCAGCGTGTCTTTAAGAACCTACAAGTGACAAAAGTAATGATAGGTATGGCCTACATCTAAAAATTAACGCTTTTTTTTTTTTGGTAAAGAGCAGATTAGAAGTCCACACACAGTTCATCTTACAACCCGTATGCAAGGGTTTCAATTAAAGGCGGTTACCGCTGGTGTACCGCCGCCGCCTATAAGACATCTTACCGCTGTCTCTTTACCTCGAAAGCAGACTGTTGAGTTTAGGTTTCGCCTTCCGGCCCCTTTTCCGGCCACAACCGCCTGTTACAACAACCCCAGCCGCTTATGGAAAAAGTTTATTGAACGCGTTATGTATAGGATAATGAAGTGAGTGACAGTGCTAACCTCATAGCTTGTTGTCTTCCCCCCTCCAGTGGGTCCTACAGTCATCACACCATGCCGCACAATCATTGTCTCGTACAACTGGATAGTCTTTTTTACCATTGAAGGAACAACCTCAAGGAACAAAATTTGAAATGTTATGTGTGGGATTCCATAACCACTGCAACTGATAAGCTTTAATGTGCGAGATGAGCAGCATGTGATGTTCAACAACGAAAAGGCTGCAGCGTAGCACTGTCATCGTCTGTTATCATTCGCCGTTCCCTGATGACAGCGTCATCCCACACTTGTATCATTCAATAATGAGTCCTTACGAGGCCGAAACAGCTGTCCAAAAAATAACTTACTGATAAAAATAAAAAATAACTTGCTGATAAAAATAACTTACTTTACACGATATTTTTAGTGCACAAGACTTGGTGTCAACATCATGGACACCTTGGTGTGAATTCTGTCGCCAAAACCCGTTCTTACATCCCCCTTCCCCCCCCACCCCTAATGAATACCAACTCATTCAGATTCCGTTTCACTCCATTGACTGTCAATAAAGAGAGTGCAATACCTGACAACCTTTCTTGAGCAAGCATTCTTCAATAGTAGCTTGTAGTTTGCCATAATCGTGATCTGGAATCTCCTTACCGGGGAAAAGATCTGATAGGATGGCCTTGAGAAAAAGAACACAGGTACCAATGAGTTAAGAGAAACATTCAAACCGGTAATGACAACAACTCAGTATACAGAACGCGATTCTTTAATCCTTCGACCCTTGAGAGTGACCAGTATCTAAGTTTTTCTTACAATATCACATTAAGGCCAGGAGAATAAAACAACTGATTACAGAAGCTCTTCAATGTTTATCAAAATCTCCTTGTTAGCACCTCAGGAAATGCATAGAGAAGAGTAACGAGAACATGCATATTGATGTTGAGGTGTAAAGGGTTAAAATACATAGTATATAAATTACAAATGAGCCCTGAATTACTTACTCTGAAGAGCTCAGCGTCCTGTTTAAGAAACTTGGGCAAGTTGCTGTCCCTCAGAGCTCTGATGAGCACGATATCTTCATTCAGATTAGGGTTTCCTCTCTTAAGCGCTCCAGCCATAACAAGCACAGACTTGACAGCTCTCATACCAAAGTCATAATGATCCTGTTGAGAAAGCTGTTCACTGCACAATCGGTACATCTGCACCATCTTCCGAGCCAGGTTTTTAGAGGATTCAAAGCCTTCGGAATACAGGATCACTTCCGCAATCAAGGCTGCAAACAGACAAGTAAGGGCCGGTCGTTTAAACAAAGTTTAGCCGTCGTTTAACAAAACCGCGTTCAAAGCCATCTTCAATTTAGCAGAACCTTCTATCTGAACGTTTACTTAATTAAATGAACTCTGTTACAGAAAATCTCTGATCTCGGATCTCTGCTTGCGTACAACTGCGGTTTGGGTTAGACCTCGTGTAAATAACCGGCCCTAAATGTTTAAACTCTTCGATCAAAAAAGGTGTTACGCTTTTCAAGAGAGCTTTTTATTTATCAATGAACATTTCTTGAGGTTCAACATTTTTCTGATTTGAAATTTGATAAAGCATTATGGTTGTCTTTAACCTCAAATCTATTACCACACTCTGAAACAGAAGAAAACAAAAAGTGAACTGGATTGAAACATTTTCAACCACAAAGAGTTTGAAACATGACACCAACGAGAAATTAATGGTAATGATGACAACTATACATCAATTAATTATGTGTAAAGTTTGGGCTTGATCATAAAACAAAGAAAGAAGTTACTCGTCTTGTCACGGGTGTAAGAGAAAGAGCGAACTGGGTCCTACTAGAAATTAAACCCCAGACCTTCGGGTTCAGTGTTCCAATGCTCTACCATTGAGCTAAAGGGAACTCTGTGGTGAGCTGGGCCAATATCAGAAATAAACGTTGTAGGGTTACGGACTGAAGAGAACGCAGTAAACCTCGCACACTTACCATAGTCTGGTACCATCATAGCCATCGGTCTGAACAAGGCCTTTAAGTTGTCCGGTAATTCTGTCCGACCAGCATAGCCAGGGTTCATTGTGATGAATGCCGCACAGCTTGGAATAAGTTTGATCTCACGCCCTTCAAACATGAAACGGGATGCCTACAGCAACAAAACATTCTCTCAACGATTTTTCCTTTAAAACGTAAAAGTGTCAAGCTAATGAGCCTATAGCAGTTTCAGAACACAATAAAAAATTTTACCTTTGCAACTTTGGCGTTTCTTATGGTGAGAAGCTGCTGAGCAATAACAGACAATACTTCGATGTCAATTCTGTTGAACTCGTCAAAACAGCACCAGGCTCCTGACTGAGCCAAGCCGGAAAAGAAGCGTCCCATCATCTTGAAGTCCAGTCCTTCAGAGCAGTTGAACACCACGCATTGCTTAGCCAGGGCCTTAGCTAAGTCCTACATATAAACCACAGAAGAGATATCGATCTGTGACTTTATTGCAGTCAGACCTTACATAAGGAGCGAGTTCTATGAAACTTTTCATACAGCATTGTGAAAATCTAAAAAGAGAGAAATCTGGCAGTCTGCGTTTTCGGGGCTTTTTCACGAAACATGACGAATTCAAAATAAATTCAAGACCAATTTAGGAAACTTTCGCGCGATCAATTGTTCTCTACTCGATTTTCATTCGCAGGTCAAATGAAATTTATTTCGTTAAAACTGAATTACTATTTTGTCAGTAGAGAGTCAATGCAAGACGAAGCATCATTATATAAATGAAGCTTTATTGTCTAAGGCTAATGGTTTACCTTAGTAGTCTCTGTTTTTCCTGTCCCAGCGGGCCCTGCGGGTGCACCTCCCAAGTCAAGCTGTAGTGCTCCCATCAAACACAAGTAGCACCGATCCTTTAAACAAAGAGACACCATTTGTTCCGCTATGACAGAGACATGCAAGGTCTCGCATACTCAATTTGTTAAGTTGTGAAATGCTTTTCTTTTAAAAAGAATTCAATTGAAGGTGATGTTTAGATATTACATCTGTGGCTTGTTACATGTGGTCGTGTGTACAAACTTATCAACAAATTACTGGAATACATCACACTGATAATTTTTGTCATACAAAAAGCACCTAGGACGGAATTATGTTGCAATACGTCGCACGAAGTCGATCTGGTTTGAACCTGCGTGACAATCCAAGCTGAAAACTGATGTCTAAGCAACTGGTTTGGAAGGCAATACACATTGAGCGGTTTACCACAAAGACCGGTTGCACTGATCTGTAGTGATGTATTTAATGAAAAGCAAAGAGAGTATGCAAACGCAGTAAGAGCACCGAGCTAAACTATATCCACGCTGCAGTGGCACAAAATCCTTTTTTGAAAATACCCATAGGAGCACACAGATGATTCATTAAAGACTTGCAATTTAAATATGTCTTACTGTGAGTGGTGTGATGACCAAGCGAGGTGAGGCACCAAGGTACTCGTAACCATATATGTACAAAGAGTTAGACATGCGCACAACACAGTTGTCCAGGTCAGGATCCCAGTAATAACGTAGCTGTTTCACCCACTCAAAACTGTTCACATTATCAACCTGAAGTATTCAACAAACAATAAGGTCAATTCTATGTAAGGTTAAAGGTTTGAGGCGTCTCCTAGGGACCTAACTTTAACAAAAAGTTCGCAAAATCAACAACAGTTGAGCGAAAGACTCGAAGGAAATAAAACTACGGTCTCAATTTATCTTTGATGATGATGATGATGATGATGATGATGATGATGATGATGATGATGATGATGAAATCTTTATTATTATAGATCAAACTAAACACTTGCAGACATACGTGCAAGTTTAAAACGGATCTCTACAAACATTAAACTAAATGAAATTAAAAAGAGACCTATTTATAACACAGCGCTTTGTCCAAGCAGTGTTCGTTTCCATCAAATTTAGGTGCAGTAAAGAGATAAGTCAAGTGGAAGTGGAAGTGTAAATTTTAAAAAATGCGATAAGCAGTGCAGCTTTATGCAAATTTAATGCACTTTATTACATCTCTCAGTTAGTAGGCACGCCATGATTGGTCCATTTAGCGGGCCATATTTCACCGCACGGCCCGCTGGATTCAAAAGTTTGTTTCAACTGAAATCTTCCTCTCTATTTGAACCCAGAGATATCATAAATATCTTACTAACCTGGTTTCCTCGGTCCGTACTCTGAGTTACGAACCTGATTTTTGCCACTCGGATTTATGACCCACGCGGTTAACTAACATTACAGACTTCGAAGTCGGTTTGTAAAAGGTATCCTATTGATGACTTTTCGCTCGTTGATGCCAATGTACGTTAACGAAATTCATCGCTACTGATATTTCACTTCATTAAAATGAAACACATAAAGCTGCTAATCCAATTTTCAGACTGCGTCAAACTTAATTAAAACGACAGCAAGGTAAAATGCAACATCGCCTATTTTATCACCAAGCATCAAGATAAAAATCAAGACAAGACGAGTTAAGATATGTTAATGCAGCTGTATGCAATAATAAAGTTAATAACCTGATGCTCCACCATTCCTGTGACTATATCCCTTGCATGCACATCAATAGTAATTAAAGCACACAGAATGTTCCTGGTCAGTTTTGGAAGCTCTCCACGAACCAGTGCAGCAAGCTTGTTCAAATTCTAGGGGGGAGTTAGAATAAAAAAATAGTATCAGCTTAAAATACTATCGTGTCTCAGGAGTTAAAAAATTTACGTCATAATCTGCTCCCCTTTTTGACCCCTTTTTCAGCGATGAAAACGAAGTCGTGTTGTGCTGTGCTGTGCTTGATCAAAGATCAAAGTGTCTCAAGCGCAGTTTATGAAAATGTGAACCAATCATAGGAATCAAAAACTAATAAAAGTTTGTAATGTCTTACAGTGACACAAATCTGTTCGGCTTCCTTCATTGCCTCTAACCTATCACCTTCCTTAACCAAACATTCCGTGATATCACGACACCACATGGTCTGAGAAATGGTCAGAACAACCTACAACAACAAACAGTTAAGGAACAAATTAAACATTTTACTTACTTGCCCATGATGCATTCTGTATTTGAAAAAGCTTAACGATTATGAATGTATAAAAGCTGTTTAAGGAAAAGAGGTTAATAGCACCCTGTTTAAAAGTGTAATTCTTAAACAAATATCGACTGAGATGAGATAAGTTAGGAGTGAAACTCCCTAAAAAGCCTTCAAAACATTTTGGCTCTCCAACTATTAAATTACTGTTCTTCTTTATATCGTATCGTTGATCTTTTATAACCAGGACATATGGCTGAGTAATAAATAACAGAATTCAAATAACACACGGTGTTGACAAGTACAGAAATGTGACAAATATGATTTAGTGGTATATACCACACAAGGGAATAGTGCTTTTCGTGCGCGCTGATCGGCTAGTTCGGAAGCAAATAGCGAGATGAGACAAAATCGCGCGTCAGGAGTTTAATTTTGACCATTTTTCGGTATATTACAAGAAATAAACTACGCTTTTGGTAGCTGTGTGGTATGCATTAAACAATTATCCACCTTAGTTTTGGTGAAAGTGGTGGAAATTTACCTCCACTTTGATGAATAATTGTTAATTATAGACACAGTATAGCGTTAGTTTACCTGGCTCGGATGTAGTGTAACCCATTCTTCTCTCGGTTTGCTCTCATAATCAGTTATAGAAGCCTTGGCTAGTTTTCTGAGTGAAGAAACCATGGACTCCTCAACCTTACCAAGCCAGTCTTCCACATTACCACGAGCCTTCAAACCCTTCAACAAATAGTAAAAAAAGGCATAAGTTTGACTAGAACCTCTGGCAAAAACTAGTAGCCCTACATTTATGTTAAAAACAAAAAGGACAGGAAGGAAATCTGGTTGTTCACCTTTGTAAGTCCAACTCTCTCGCCTTCAGGCGAGATCATTGCAAGGATATCATTAGTCTTTGTTTCAGCTGCCTTACCAGCTGAGGTGGCTGTAAAAACAGACAATGCAGCAAACGTTAGACAAACCTAAGACAAACGCTAGTCTCTTGAATACAGAGGACATACAACTGCAATGTACATCAGTCGCAAAGGATGGATATAGCAAGGACTGGAGGGAACTTTCCTATTTTGAAGCTCGCTTGAACTAACCCTACAATCTATTATACTCGTCACAGGAGCATTCTGTGATCTATTTTTTCCTACTTATGCTTTTCTTTAAAGGACCGAACGCATTGACTTATGATGTGGTTTATCTAACATAAAGCGGAGACTCAAAGAGAGGGTGACAATGAGTATTGGAATACATAAAGTGGCTTTTTAAACAGTAAATTTTAAGTATGGAAACGATTGCTTCTGCAATTAGACGGGCCAAATCGGACAGTTACGTCGCCAACAAATCTCAGCTACCAAGCCAATACTAACCAATCAAAACGATCAATCCAATACTAGCCAATCAAAATGATCAATCCAATACTAGCCAATCAAACTTATCAATCCAATACTAGCCAATCAAAATTATCAATCCAATACTAGCCAATCAAAATGATGGAAACTTCTCAGGTGAGCAGGTTGAGATGTCCATACTGAAAACAAACATGAACGAAATTAACCTGTCCAATGACTTTTATTCGCTATCAAAAAGAAGGGTTTTGCTCTTACATTCAATTTTTCATTTCTGACTTTCCCGCAGCTCGTTAATGACAATTAATTGGCAATAGGACTGATTGGAGTACAATTCAACGGCAATCATGCTCGTGATTTCACATTACTCTTGCGCTACGCCCGTCGCCAATTTGCGATGACTCGTCCGATTTCTCATTGAATTGTTCTCCATTCCGTCTTAGTACTGTTACACAGTAGTACTCACGTCTCTCTCCTGTTGGTGTGACTGGTTTTTCAGCCGCTGATGGTGTGGGAGGTGGCTGAGAAGCACTACCAAACTCAAGTCTGAGAAAAGTTCAATAAATGGGAAAAACGTGTTGGACGGATTTTTCTTTCGAACTTTTATATGGTATATTGATGCTTTAAAGCTGAGAAGTACAAAAACTTACTTTGAAATGGCATCGAAACACTTTTGCAAGTGAGGCTGAACAGCATGCGGATTGCGCGTCTGTGATAAGATTTCCAACAACTCGTCGTTTGAAAGGAAATAGAACCTAAAATAACAAAGGAGAGTGTCATTCACCATAAAACACTTAGTCACCACTTACACTAGAACTGAGCCAACAACAAACGAAGAACCTTAAAGTTTTCATTTCATAATTACCTTGGGAATATTACACATTTGGACTCCAGGTACGCCTCAAGACACTTCTGAATTTGATCTAAAAGGGCATTGTTATTTTGAAATATCTCGAGCAGTCCTGAAACAGAAAACAAATAAAGCATTTCAAATTTCATTTACCACAAAAACTTGGACCACAATTGGGCTAAAACCTATCCTAATTGTAATGAGAAACCCGTACCGATTTCAGTGTAGAAGTTCCCACTTTTCTATCAATTCACAAAATTCTGAATAGCATTTTCAGTTGGCTGATGATTTACAAACTTTTCTTCTGTCTTTTTTTCCCAGAAGTGGGTCACTATGTTGGTGAACCAATAGAAAGCGCTGTCTATTGTTCGAGTAAATAACTAGTGGAAGCGAACATTGAAAAAATCATCAAGTCTTTTCTTCTTCTTTTACTTTCAAGTGCTTTGATGACTGTGTCTTACTTCAGGCAAAGGAATCACCAGTCCCCTCATGAAATAATGAATACCAGTAATAAACACAGTCACTCTGTCAGGATTCAGATGTATTCAATGTGAATGCATTTTAAAATCACCAATGATACTTTATTATTATAAAAGGGTTGAGTTTCTAGAGAAACTGAGGTGGTGTGTCGGCAGAGCGTATTACAAGACAATTTGTTTTTATAAACTGAGTTGACATTGTAAATTGGCCACCGTATAGAGTTTGTATAGCTAATGTTTGGAGTGTTGGCCTTTTTCAGAGTACAGCGTCATTAGCTTCGTCAATTGTCTTTTGCTCTGACGAAGGGCTAACGCTCGAAACTTCAGCTTTAGAAAGTAGTCCAAACATTTTACGTTGGTCAATTTACATCACGTCAACTCACTTGATAAAACCAAATTACTTTACTTTCATATTTAACTCTTCTTAGTGGGATGTTTAGTCAGGTCAGTTAGTCAGCCACCTTAGAGGAACCTTCAGTGGCAGCTGGCGGTTATAACACACTCTGGAAAAGATAAAAAATTCCAGGCAGCTCTACAACAACACTCACCTGGTTGGGTAGCTGCTCTAAGAGCATTGGGAAGCCTGTGGACTTTTCTCATGACTTCCTTCCATGACTTGTCTACTGTCAGAAACATTTTGGCTTCAGCTGGTAGCTGACGCTGGATATCTGGAGCACTAAAGATGCTCTCGAGGTATAACCAGTTACGCTGGCAAGTCATCCACTCATCCTGATAAAGTAATAACAATATAACTCTCAAGTGTTTATAATTCTTACTCCTTGATTATGTTTTTTTTCTAAAACCCGGAGATGGAAAAGCACTGGGTGAAAGTGTGCTTTAAGTAGGTTTTACTTAGCCTATAAATATCGTTGACATACAATTTATCTTAAATAGCTTAACAATTTGGGAAGTATCTCTGAAAAGTATGATTCACTGTAAGCATCACTGAAAAGTAAATTCTAGCATATAAATAGTATAAAACGGTTGACGTATCTACGATGACCGCAGGTAATAATCATGATCACAACATAGCTTCGCAGGAAAAAAACACGTCCATTAATTCGACTCCTCCACAAGACTTGTAAGTCAGAAACTTTGAATCTCTTCAGGTCGTGATCGCATCACGGTTTATCCATCCTGTCAGACGAGCGCTTTATGAGTTTTGTTTTTCTTAGTAAAAACTTCTTGTCCCAAACAAACTAGCAGGTTCCTGATTTAAAAGCATCATATACATGTAAAATAACTTTGGAATGTAGATGCATGTTAATGAATTCTCACCAGTGTTTCACTGAAGAGATGAAGTTGCCTTTGCCAGTCATCCACTCTTGGTCTGATTGGGCCAACATGTCGAGAACCAGCAATAGTGGATATATTAATCTGTAGAGAGAGTGGAGAGAGACAAAGTCATCGACTGATCATTTCCAAACATTGCTGAACAAATTCTAATCACCATGCTGTCATCAAGGAGAGCCTGGATATCATCAATTCCACCGAGGATGAACACGTCTTTTGAGTCACGATGGGGTAACACGATGAACTCTGTTTGCTTCCAGGAATCTTCAACCTGTACAGCATCAATAAAACAAACACGTGTATCAGCTTTTTTATGCGATTGCATGAATTGCAGCTCACCTGTTACGACCATGGCACTAATTTCGTGCGCCATGATAGGTAAATTTAGCGAGCCTAAATACAAAAGTTTGTTTGCATTGAAATATTCCCCTCTTGTGAACCCAGAGATATCATAGATATCTTATTAACCTTCAAACACTGCAAGTCCGATACTGTAGGTTATGGGACCTCCTTTTTTCCTCTCAAATTTAACCCCTGTGCCAAATCCAAGTGGAAAAAAACTCGGTCAATAACTTAAAGTACGGATCTAAGAGATATCAATTTTGACTTCAGCTTCGTTTTATTTAAGGTACACTACATTACAAATGCACAGTCATGAGCAGGGTTTTTTGTCCAAACCTTCTTGAGGATTCCTTCAAGAGATGCTTCACTAGACGCCTGCCCAGAGACTTCTTCAATAGCTTCTGTATGTTCAAAGGCATCGATCTTGTTTAGTAATCCCAGAGTGAGTGGTTCTTCTTCAGTAAAGTGGTAACCAAAGATTTGTTGAATGTGCTCCCAGTGGCGAGGTTTCAGAGCTGGGTTACGCAGGTTCGTTATCACTGGCAACTATATGAAAACAAGTCAATGACGTATGTGGTTAATTAACTATTGTGACTGAATTTTCATACTGTGACCACTAACAAGCCCAAACAATTCAGAGTACTTCTCTTAATCATGAAACGACCATGGTCTTTGGGTGCTGTGAAGTATTAATCTGCTTATTAAAACTTCTGACTGAGATAAAAGCATTGAGAAAGACCAGCTTTGAGATTATTCGTGTTAAATAGGATTCCTCTAAGTTATTTTCAATTCTCTTCAATTCATATGTCCCTGTGTTCATATCTACCTTATGTCTCATTCCTTCCACTTTTTCTTTCAGTATTGGTACCACTGAGTTGGGAGGAAGACCTTTCTCCAACTGCATAACTGTCTTAGCATACTTCATCACTTGGTTGCTCAGAGCTTCTGGGTTGAGCTCTTCAAAAGGAAGCTGAAAAATTTTTGCATGCACAGTCAACTTCTTCAAGTTTTGGAAAATAGACTCACTTTGAAATAGGTTGTCCAGGAATCAAGAGGCTTTATTATCAATAAGCCACAACAAAAAAACAAACAAACAAACAGCTAAAAATTTTGTAAAGTACATACATGTAATGAACTGTGCCCACCATGGAGAGACTTGATTAAGTAATCAAATTTGTAACAACTTAGCATGAGAAAAGCAAAAGGGAAAATGACATATTAAAAAAAGAATGCAGAAGAGTAACACCCACCTCAAGCCATTCACCAGTAACATCATCCCATTCCACAAGTGAGTTCCACAATGCCTGCTTGAGCTTGAGCTCTGCATGAACTTCTTCAAGTTCTTCAAACTTGGCCACCTCCACCTATGAGAAGTGCAGAATTGTTAGATTAAACCTCATAATGCATTATACAAATATTGAGAGCATCAGTACAAGTTTAAGTTTTTGTTACCTCTAGTCTACCATCAAGCAAGGAGAAAGCTTAACTTAATACAAATGCATTTTAAAGGTGGCACAAGCTCTAGTAGGAAGATTTCCTGTAAATTTGTGTAGCCATTGCTAGAGGTTCAAAGAAAACTATAAACAAAAAGCAGTTAGCTCATAAATATGTCTATACAAAATAATTATGATTATTAAAAACTAGATCATTGGATAATGCAATTCACGACTTTTTATTGGCTTAGCCATTATGGTATATCAGCCAATATACCATAATCTACAAATATGGCAAGCGTACGTGTCAGCTTAAAATTAAAAGGAAGCTAAAAATTTAATAAAATTTAATAATTTAATTTAACGTTTTTAATAAAACAATTATTCCACTCGCACTTGTTGGATATGAGATGATTATAGCCAACTCGGCGCGCGCTCGTGGAATAATTGTTAAATATCGAGGACTGAAAAAGAATGAACATTTAGCTTAATTTGTGACCCTACCAGATCCCTCATAACCTGACTGCTGTTGATGAAAAATGCACTTTTAAATACCTTGAAGTTCTTCTGGTGTGATTTGTATGTGAGTGCTAAGTTGTTAAGGCTATCCATTTTGTCAATGAGAGCTTCAAGGTACTGGATAATGTCATTTGACTGTGAACTGGAGTCCAAAATCTTGGGGTCCTGTAACAAATGTAAGTCTTGCAGTCATACCATTATTAAAAAAAAGAAATTCTGGTCAGGACACTAAATACTTTGACATCCTTCTTGGTTTATTCCTGTTAATAACATAACAATAGAGAGATAGTGACACATATAGTAAACCTTAGCTTAATTACTATGCAAGTGAAACTTTCTTCCAGGAATTTTTAATCTGAGCTCTTGAAGTTTCCTTCAGAGGCCAGAAACTTCTAGGTCTTCCTAAAGGACAATTTAGCCTTGATTTTGAGACTTGCATTTCTAAATAGTGATCACAAAATGGAAAGAGATGGGATGACATATCAGACAATAATTTTAAAAGTAGCTGATGGGTACTGACAGTGTCAGAGGGCATTGAAAACTTCAATCTTCACCTCAGAGAAGGAGAGCTACTACAGTGCCATACTCATGAAGGGTAATTCATTGTTTGCTGAGTAACAGTTTTCAGTCACTTTCAGAATTCAAAATGACAGTATACAGGTATATACACAGGTCATAATCCCATTTCATCCCTTGAGTGAGATGTTTATCTTGACTCTCATTACCCTTACCAAAATTAAGTACACTTTTATTATAATTACTTCATTTGAAATGCAATTGAATGGACCTGTACCTGTACTGTCCAAATATTTTTCACAAGTGTTGAGTGTATTTATACGCTGTTACCTTAATGACCTTTAAGTTAGTAAAAGATATGTCCTGCACCAACCTGTGCTTTTTGTTTCACCTCTTTCACCTCCTTACCCAGTACCACAATATCTTTGTCAATGTGTGTACACATCTTGTCAATATTGGCATCCCTCTCAGCTAATGATTTGTCAATCACATTACGGACAGCTGTCACTGTGGGCCTCAGAGTCTGCAAAGATCATGAAATTCATTCAGTTTTTAACTGTTCAAGGACTTCTTGTGCTTAATATTACCAACATGTAAAATGCCAAATTGGACAAAGTAACCAGCCACTATAAAAAAGATTAGGTTGACAAAATCATTTCAAATTTCTGAATACATGTAGTTTTGGTAGATGATGATAATTATCTCACCTTGAGTCCACTGTCACTTTCTGATAGAAAACCAGTTTGATGATAACATTATGATAAATGTATGTGCTTTGACACCAAGGCCAAGATATCTGATTTGGACACTCACACTGTATTTCTACTGACAACTTAAAATCTTAACACTGCTGACAGAACCAATACCTGGTACACAGCAAGATCCTCAGGTGGTGTTGGCACTTTGTATGTCTCAATCAAGTCATACAACTCTTTCACAACAGTAGCATCTCTTTCAATATCATCAACCTAAGAAAAAATTGATTAATAACTTACACTGCTTTAGTTGGTGGAACAAAAATTCAGTAGTCGATACTGAACATTTTGGGTCTGATAAGACCTGGCAGAGCTCGCCAGGTCTTATCAGACCAGTAATATCTTATTATATTGTTATGTTTCTCTACAGATTAGATTTAACAGTGTTTTAGAAAAGTACAGAGCACTTCCTTAGAGATTTGACAGAAATGATACTTGATTACTCAAGTGACTGATGGGCTGTATACCCGAATATGCAGAGTGTAATACTGCTACTAGACACTACATTAACTGTGTAGTGCTGTAGTTACATCTACAAGTAAACTTCACCATGTGAACAAATTAGCAAAATATCAGCATCTCACAGGTTGCTCTGCAAGTAGGTAATATCCAAGAAACAAACCCTGATACGAGAAAGAGGATAATCAATTAAATGCTATTTGTAGTACATTGTATGTCAATAGAGATACTACTGAAAAACACTGTACCTTCTCTTGAATGGTGTCAAGAAAAGTAAGGCTTTCAACATATTCTGAGGTGCTACTAGGCACAGCTTCTAGTTTAAACTGAGCATCTTGACAGAATCCCATCAGTGTATCTGTTCGCATCTTGGCCAACTTAGGCAATATATCATTTATCACCTACAATAGAGGAAAGCCTGCTTACAATAATATGTACATTTTGTTTGTGAAAAAAAATATCAAATGAAGCTTAGTTGAACAAGTCACCTACCACAGAAAAGTTACATGTAATTCAGGTGACTGCATGAACACAGTTTTTGATACCTATGTTACTTTCACCATTTGCTCTTTCCCTTGATCTCTTGGTCACCAAAACTGGCAGCAAGCAAGTTAACAACACAAACTTTCTTTTTTTGATAGTTCAACTTATGTATGTGCCATTGCCATGGTGACATGAATAACTATAAACAGGCCTTTAAAATTAGTATTGTTTATTTGTAGAAAATCTAGTCATTAGATTTTCTTTATAATTTGCATGCAATGAGCTTGTAATGATACTCACAAGTTAACACCATTTTGCTAACATTTTAACAGAGAGATCTTTAACTATCCCTTGTTGAAGGTTCACTCAATTATCTAGAATTTCCTTTGTCAAAAATCAGTTTTTTTCAATACTCCAGTTGCTTATTTCCTAAAGTATTTTTGTGCCAAATTTCGTGGTTCTCAAGAAATAGGCATATTTCCGAGAAAGCAATTTTCCATTCAATCACAATTTTTTTACTTACTACACATGCACTGCATTTCACTGGATTCTTTCGGTAAGGATGAAAAGGTAAGAATTGCTAGGTTCTTTGCACTGTTAACTTTTCTGACATATCTTTGTAGCAAAAGATTAAAGCCCTCAATATCAATACACTGCGCACACTATAGAGAAAAATAGCACAGATAGTGCGGGTACATGTTGAGTAAATAAAATGCCCGTCTATTGACGGCATGTTTATTATTTGCAATCCCTGTGCGCTCGCTGAAGTGCATCACCAAAAGTGCGCACGAAAACTGTGTTCAGCCACCTTAAGGACAACTACTTCCATTGAGCACCAAGAAATTGTAGAATGTAAAATGGAATCAACATCATTTCTCATGAAGATCAATAAGAATTACTTGTCTTGAACCACAAAGAATCTGCAAACCCAGCTGATGACAAATCAATGCCAGACAAAAGAACAAATATGGATTACACTGAACCCCAACCTGTCACAAACCTCTAAACATTTCAATGGTGATGGAATGAGAACTTCTTTCAACTTCTTACAATCAACAAGGATCATGCCAATTGCTCTGCGTTCCAAAATACCAACTGCCTGTTCATGTTCACTGTTGTATTTGTCCAGTGAGTGTGAGAAAAAACCAACATCTGATTGATTTACAAAGAGAAAAAATTTAGTCCTTTAGATAACTACTTCTTAGGTTGAATTTATCTGTCAAAGCACAATAAATTAATGAACAACCATAAAAAAGGCATTTGTAATCATATTACCATGCTCTTCTTGTCTAATTCGTTCAAGATCCAAACTCTCATTCTCTTGGTAAAACTGGCGATAAGGTTCAAATGTATTTGCATACTGCCATGCAGAGTCAAATGCTGATGAAATAGCATCCTATTTGCAGAAAACACACACACATAAATTGCTTTCATTGGTAGTTCACTAGAATGTGCATGTACATGATAGCAAAATGTTTGAAAAACATGATAAAATTGTTATGAATCATGAATATGCACAGATAAATAAATGAATTGTGAGTTTCCTGTTCTGACCAAAAGAAATGATTGAAGTAAAATTTTCTGTCCAGTGCATGCCCTTCTAATGTTTGAAATTGGGTCCTACATAAGTTCAAACTTACCGTAATTTCAAAATTTATAAGACTTCTGATAAAATACTTGCAGACTGAATTTTGGGCAGCGGACAGGAATCTGTTTAATCACCTCTGTCATGACATGCTGACCTCACAGCCTTCAATCTGTAGGTCATGACCTTGCACCAAATATTTTCCTGTCTGGCCCTCCCACTCAGCCAATAGCTATATTATCATTGAGATGAAACCATACACTATTCATTTAAAAATATTTGAAGTTTGACAATAACCCCTTTTTTATCTAAACACCATGTGTTAACATCTCTATTTTCCTTCAACCAGTCATAAATATTCAAGCCAAATACCTTGATACTTTGTATAATTCCTTGAAGATGTCTATCATCCTCAAACATGGTGGCCAGACTAGGACCATCACCTGCTGTTTTCTCTTCAACTTTACCATTGATAAATGGTCTGCGTTGCAAAGAAAAGTAGAAGTCACAATTAAAATTTTCTCCACAAATTTCAGTGAGTCAATTTGTCTTTACTTTTTTCAAGGTTTTATCGGAGACAAAATTTGATGCAAATGACTGCACTATATATGCTGTAAGTTGTCAATGATTAAGATGATTGAGGACATCATTTTCTTTACAAGATCCTGAAACTTACTGAGTGAAAGCATCAAAATATGGGTCAGGCACGAGGTTTTGAACACTTAGGACAGCATCTTGAAACTTTTTGATGACTTCTCCAAGTCCATCCTGAAAGTCATCCAATCCAGGGGAAAACAGCAGCATTTGAGGCTCAAGAAGCACCTCTGTGGTGTACAGTGGATGGAGTTCTCCTTGTTCATCCTGTAACACAAAACAAGCACTCTTTAACTCTGCAATCTACCAAGGTCATGTGAACACAATTATGGTACACTTGCATCGCATTCCTTTTCAGGACAATAGATACTGAATGAAATAACTCACACCACTTGCTGTGAATTTCTAGTTCAATGGGTGACCCAGTGATACAATTCAAGAATGAAGTTAGTTCAGTAAAGGCTGCTAGGTATTTTTTTCAGGTCTGATTTTCTCTATTGCATAAATAGCGCTCTCTACTGCGAGGATCGTACATCATATGTATCTATAACTGCAGTGCAAAATATATGAACTTCATATATTCATCAAGAACAGTATTATTAACTTTGTCATCTTAAAACATCTTAATTGTGTTGGTGTCACTAACAAGGAAGATGTACAGAAGTTTAAAGAAAGACTCTACCCTATATACTAAACAAACCAACTTTGTGACAAATTTAAATTAAACATTAAATTTAAAGTAACAATGGATGTTAAAAAAAAAGAAAAGACTCAAAGCTTGATGATAGAGGAATTAAAAATCTTGGAGTGAACAAGAAATGAGTAACAACTGTTTAGATTCACCATAAAGCTGTAAAATTATGTACTGCAGTCAGAGAAAACAGTTGTGTAACTATGAATGTTAGCACGTAACACTTTCATACATCTGCACATTTGGCTCAAGCATAAGTGTTAGTCAAGAGCTAATTGCTACCATGTCAAATTTAATATCATACCCTGTAAATTAAAGCAATACCTTCTGTTCAATAGCCTCCCCTTCTGCTTTCTCTTCCTCTGGTTCCATTTCTTCACTTGTTCCCTGGATTTGTGCAGGGGTGGGTGTGTGCTGCAGTTGTTCCTCCAAATAGTTAAGTAGAGTAGCAACAGAGTTTGCTGCTAGAACATGCATAGTATTCACAATGAGATAGTCAGCAAGCCGGATAAAGCTGAAGATAAATGTATTTAGCAGCATTAATAAATGAAATAAATATTATTGAGTTTTGAGGCTGATACGTTTTCAAATAAAACAAACCATGTTACAAGGGGTTGCAAGAGTACATACCCTCCTTACCCATTATTTTGTTGAGAGCTTTAATTTTTAAAGGAGGGACATCAACGTGTACAGTGTTGAAAAAGCATACTAGAACCTACTTGTAGGTAGCATTCTTTGGTTACCTTGGTCCCAAAAAAAGTTCCTTGAAATAAGTTCAATTGATAATAATAATAATAATAATAATAATAATAATAATAATAATAATAATAATAGTTCATTTATACAGCACACACATCCACTACTTGTTCAAGGCACTTTACAAAATTAATCCTAAAACGGTAAATTTACTCTAAAAAACTTAGAAAATAAAAAATTAGCGCACACTTGAAATATTTTATTTTAGATCTTGTACATTTTAATGTCACAATGATGATAAGCATGTCATTATTAGCTAAGCTGCTTCATATACAGAGTACATTGTAATTAGACATGAAAGAAAATGTGTAATTATGCTAGCATCTTAGAATATGTTCCTGTAGATTCATCTTAAAATAACATAAATTCATCCCATTTTTTCTTTTTTGGAAAAATTGTCAGTCTTGATCCATTTATACAGCAACTCTTACACAACTGTTGTTTACCTTGTGAGTCTTCTGCAGTGGCTTCTCTTGTTAGCCTGCTCTGTATAAGTCATTTTGTCTGGTGCATCACCATACATATCCATCTCATACCCACTTGGCATTAAATAGGATGACATTGAATGTGCAGGGCCTCCATATTCATCTGTCAAAGAATCAAACAACAATTTACAATAAATGACTGATGAATATGTACAGTGTTGGCATGTAAACCACAGTGCATTAAGAGTGAACATATATACGATAACCCTCTACTGGCAATTAGGAATTAATCATGTTGCAGAAAAAAATACATGTTCATATAAAATGACCTGTTGCTAGTGACTTAAATTTACTTTGGGGTGAAATACTTTGTGTTAGAATCTTTCCATATTTCAAAGAATTAAAAAACAAAAAAAAAAAAACAACAATGCTTGCATTGTCATATAGATGCAGGAACTGTAACTGTTTATTTTGACTGAACACTTTTTTCATTTTCAATTTTGAAATATGTCACACATACTTAAAATTCAAGCACTGGCAACACCATAAATGAGACATCAATAATTGCTATATACTAACCTGCATACATCCCCATAGGACTGTCCATATCCATAAAATAATCGTCAGGTGTGAACCCTGCCTCAAGAAGAGCTGTTCGACATGCACTTCTCACAACTTCTTTGACAAGGTCACGAAACTCTGCTAATCTTCCAGCAACCTACCAATGCAAAAATTTACACAACAACTGAAAACATAATTTTGGCTTCATTTGTTCCTTTATAAACTTGATGAAATAATTTTTTTTAATGGAAGACAAATAGGAAAGCCAAGTGAAACACCAAGGAGAGTGAGGGACATGATGTATTCAGGCATAAAAGTCACTGTGAGGCATGAGTATGGTCAAACATGACAACACAGCTTAATCTAATGTCTCACATTCACAATACAATTAAAAAGGAAAACAAGACCCAAAATAAGTACCACGACCAAGGATGCAACCTAGAAAATACCTTCAATCTCTACCTACCATTTAAATGATCATTATATATAGAAAAGTTCAGTACACTAATGAACAATTTACATTTTTTTGGATAGTCTTGGTCCTGTCCTCTACTTTGTCACACCTGCTCTTCCCTCAGGAGGTATGAGTTAAAGATTTAAAATAATGAAAATTGAATTTCTTCTTCATTTTGTCAAAAAAAGAGAAAAGGTTGGAAAACTACTGACACAAAAATATTTCCAGAATGTGATTAAAAAAAGGAAAATATGCCAATCAGTTGTGAGAAATCTCAATTGTACCCAGTAACAACAGTTGGTCTTTTAGATTTACATGTATAAGTGGTCTGCTTACACTCCTAATTGCTTACATGTCCTGTTCTCTCAACTTGGTGTTCAAAAAACAAGGTTCATTCCAAATATATTTCAGGTGTTCAGGGTTTGAGGAGTTTGGGAGTGTTGTCCAAGTCATCCTTTGTGTAACAATAATGAGATGGCCATGGGTGACATCATTTTTTACATGTGCATGTTCATGTATTTAGCTCACAGATGTAAAAATCACATGGAGACTGACGAGAAGAGATCTAATGTATCATAGATTAACTAGTAGTAACTCTACAGCATACCTCTTCAAGCTGTTCAAATTGAGCATTCCTGAACTCATCCAAAGTGTAAGTGTGCCCTTTCTCCACTCTGCACAGGCCCATGTCACTGATGCGGTAACACATTTCTCGCACATTCAACAAAGCTGGGCGTAATGACTAACAAAAGAAAGATTTTAAGATTCTTTGGTTTGGACTCTAGATCAAAATATGTAAGAAAAAACTCAAAAAAATGTCCTTATCAAGAAACAGCATTAAATGTACTTACAGGATTTACAATGAAGAGATTCTCTTGTAGTTGATTTTTACACTGTGTCACTTTCCTGTATTTGTGAGAAACAGGAAATACATTATTACTTAAGTCCTTTCAGTAAAAAAAAGTAAACATTTAATAATTATAAAACTTGTCAAAGTCTACTTCTTTCTGGTTGATAAAACAGTGCATAGCAGATCTTAACAACTACAGGGTGTAGTTCTGTCAGTTAAGAGCTTGATAGATATAATATTGAAGTCAGACTGAAAACAACAATTTATTATTCAACAAATCATGATATAACTGGATTACAACAAAAATTGAGTTGTCATTTCTTGGTATTCATGTGTTAGTACTCTATGTCTATATGTTTTCTAGTTGATCATAGCATTGTGCAGTATAGTTATCACAACATCTATTAACAACGTTAGTAAAATAAATATATAAGTATATGTACATGTCTCTGCACTTGTGGATCAAATTCTAGCAAACAAATGATCGTTCCAGGTGGGCTTCAGTTTTTAAGTAACTGCAGAAAAGAAGCCTGGAAAAAGACTTCGGGCTTCAAAGGGATTTGAGCCTTAGCCTCTCAGTAGAAACATGTACTGTGCAAGTTGGGGGCTACCACCAATTGAGCAACTATTCAATACATTAGGAGCATGGCAAGTTCTAGTAAGTTATTACTTCCCATAGAGGAGTGTGATAACAATTTCAATTAAATAAATCACAAAAAACCCACAAACTTTGCCTTATTCCCAACTTGTGGCTTGGTAGCCCAGTCCACTAATTTCTGGGAGGCATGTGTTCAAAACTTGTTTCAGAATTTTCTTCAAGCTTCTTTACAACATTTTTTTGGTATAAGACCACCAGTAAGAATCATTTATTAACTTGAATATCCTAACTTCACCAAGTTATGAGGGGATGCACATTACATGACAAGATCTGCCTGCCTAAACACTCACACATATGATGCACATCTACTAGTTTCCTAACTCTACAGATTTTTTTGATGCCTTACTTTATCTTGACATTCTTCCTCCAGACAACAAATGCCTTCCACATCCTAAAGCTAGCAAATGTTGGAATTTTCACAAGTCTTGTGTAGTCCTTGTACTCCTTTTCCCATCGTTCAAGGGGTGTAAACTCTGCTTCATCGTCACAGACATGAGTTACTCCTTCAGCACTTATGGTGTAGTAATCTGAATGGTCAATTGCTGAATGCTTTACAATTCTGTCAATTGAGGTAAACATAAATTTTCAGTTAATAAATGTAAAAATCTTTCACCTGAATGTCAAATTTTGACTGTCATTCCTTTACAATTAAGTACTGCAAATGGTCAAGAGAAAAAATATGTGCACTGCAGTATGAGATAAGTAAAACAAATAAGGTTATACCAACTGATGTACTTTTGTAAGTGATGCTCTTTTTTTGCCACAAAAAAAATATATTTTTCCCTGTAATGGTGTTAATATTTGTGATGAAATATGTAAAAAGGTATGAGTCCCCATGTCAGGAACTAAGATAAAAGACCCTCAGATTATTTCAAATGCTCTACCTTTGACAAGGTTGTAGCAATTACACTGCCAGCTTAAATTTCAAGTGAGGTGGCTCAAAAGTTGGTGAATGATAGTAAGTGTGTAACCTTGTAACCATCTCTTTACCAAATAAATAAAGGCTGATAATTTCTAAAGAAACTGTTTGGGGCTGTCTTGGTGGGGGTAACGAAATAATTTCAATATATCAACAAAGTTGAAATGGTAAATTGNTATATTAAATTATTTCTTTACCAAATAGTAAGTGTGTAACCTTGTAACCATCTCTTTACCAAGAGATGGCTAGCCAAAAATCCAGCCTGCCATCCCCCCTTTTTCATCCGGGAACTTTTGCCAGAAGCAGTTGCTTAGTGACAACCCCAATCTGAGAAACAGAGATTGTTATGGCAGGCAAGCCCATTACTTAGCTCATGCGTGACATGCATTCTGCTTACTGCTAGGATCAGCAATTTTGATAGTGTAATGGAAATGGATATAATTCAACATGTGGTAACAGTTACATAGAGTTGTCAAATGGGATATTTCTTATCAATTGTTTTTCTTACAAGGAAAAAAGTGAGAAAACAACTTTCTGAAAAGTACCAGTAAGTTAATTTTGCTTACTCTTGACCAAAAGATTTGACTGTTTTCTCCATCTCACAATGTACTGTAAATTTATTATTTAATTTTGTGATAATCCTCTAACCACATTCCCTCGGCAAAAGATTTATGTGAACACCATAACAACAAGTGAAGCTGCAAAGAATGTTATAGCAACAGAGGGTTTATTCATAAGTAACTAACACATCATGTGTCATAAGAGAACTACACCTTGCAACATTCCCAAAAGAATATCATTGATTACATTGTAGATACACTGTTTTACTTACTTGAGGTTGTAAGGATTGTAATCTATTGATGACCTATCAACAGCAGGGGTCATGTAAAGAAACCCTAGTTTAGAATTCTCCTTGATCAAACTTATAATCTGAAGTGGATCTCTCAGACCCTCAGGTATAACATCTGTCTTCTCCACTAATACACTTCCATTGGCAAAGGCATGCGCATGACCATTAGTTTTCTGCTTTGAAGAATTCTGCCTTTGTGGAGCCCTAGTATTAACTTGAGCTGCAGAGTCAATTTTTTCTTGTTTATTCTTTAAATCATCTGGTAGACTTGGTAACGGAGATGTTACTCGCTCAAGAGGTTCTACAACATCTCTTCGGCGTGCCTTCTTCTTGTCTGGCTCAGATGAGGAGGGTGGTGTTGGGGTTTTTGTCTTCCCTGCAGGAGAAGTGTAAGGAAGACTTTTTTGCCTTTCTTGATATCTGGCAAGGTTTGGCTGAAATGAAAAAAGAGAAAAATTCCCTTATTGTTCGTCTTTTTTATTTACAACCAGTAATAAATCTACTGCAAAGTCAGGGCTCAGTTAATACTTAATTCAACCAAAGCAAATGAATATTTTCCCTTCAAAAAGAGAAGCATTTTGTAAAGTTTAGGAACGCAGTAAATTTAGTGACTAGTTAGTGACCTTTATCTGGCTAGGCACAAATTTTTTAAGGGTAGTTAAAGCTAACCAGCAACAGATAAAACACTTACCATCCACCAGATAAGTGTGAACCAAAAAAATATATAATTATATTGCACTATCAACCAGACAGAAATTTATTCCGTGGATAAGTGTTATCCACCCTATAAACAATCACTGATAATTCTACATCATCCCTTAACTCTCCTAGGTCACAAGGGGATCCTCCTTGGTACTTGAGAGATTACAGCTACATTTCATCTCAATTGGTTTTTCAACTTACCAAAGGCTCTAGTCTGGGTGCTGTTGGTATATTCTGAAGAATAACAACAGGAAATAAATCATAGCATACGGCAAAATTGGCGAGTATAAGATTGCACTGTAAGTCAGTTATCAATCAAAGCTGCCAAACATTTTTGACAGTCAGTTACAACTGTCTATATACATGTGTATATATTAAGGAATCACCCGCAGCACTTAAGTTCGCATGATTTCCAAAAAAGTTGCACAAATGACGAACGTACAGTAATAAATAAGCCTGAAGTACCATATTGTCATACAAAACTTGAAAGGCATGTCACAGGTCATTAAATTATGGCTCACGCATAACGTTTCTTGTAGTTGTGTTGGCATTCATCTTCTTTTCTTAATTCGACAAATGAGAGTCGAGAAGAGGTAAATATAGATTAACAAAATGGTTTCAAGTGTCGGCGATGAAATTCACTTTCTGGAGATAATGGTTATTTTTCATAAATTTTGAAGACAATATTTAAAAGCTGGGTAAGCTTTACTGACTAAATGTTCGTGTTTAAACTTCTCTGTATAATTACAATTCTCCGCTTGCACGTCCATAATTAAGAAAGAATACCTACATGAATTAGGCTTGAGCTTACCTTTTTGAGCTGCACCGGGGTCGGACCACTGAATCTAAGAGCCTTTGGATTTGGTTTTAGTTGTGGTTTTGCATAAATACGAGCACGAAGCTCGTTTTCGTCAATTCCTGGCAAAGAAAATGCATCAGACCTTGGGTTGTTAGCGGGTTTCCTACCGCCATTGGCGAAAGTACTTGCACCGTTTTGGGCCATTTTGCACCAAGAGGAGTTTTTCTTTGACGTTTACACAAACGAAAATCTGTTTTGTTTGTTAGTAAACAACACAAAACAGCCTGAATGTACTAATTCATCGAGGGAAACCTCCATACTTCAGTTTGTTTTCCAAACTTTCCGCCATTTTGTTTCTGGAGAAAGTTGCTACGTAACGAGATTGTCAACTGCCAACTGCGAAACTGTGGGAACCTCGGTATCGCGGACGGACTGGGACCCAAAATAGCTCTTATCAAACATGTTTGGTCCTCATGTTGACGTTTTTAGATAAATACTTGATAATTTTTAAATTTAAGAGGGCGGATTACCAATCGATCTGTAACACAGAAACTATATTAAAAATAAAATGAAAAACAGTTTAAAAAAATCTGGGTGGGAGAGGGCATTCACGAAGTTTGGAGGGACTACCAAAACCCTGACCCTGTTCAGTTAAAACAAAATCCGGTCAGATATTCCATCCTTGATGGGAATAATACACTTGTAAATTGGAGCATGCCAACCAAAACAAATAGATGGCAAAGCTGGCAGTACAAGAAGAGGCCCATGCCAATATTCAAGATATAACTGTGAAGTCCGATGACGGTGGTCGAGGTAAAAGTATAATAGTGCTCCAGTTTTCTCTCTCCGATTTCGTCGTTGACATCCGAAAAAATTATCCGAGAATTTTCAAACCTTTCCCGTGAGATATTTTAACACAACCCACTCTGTAACATAGAGAGCTTAATGCCACACTTTTCGATATATATTTGTAACGTCCTGTGAGACTAATCATACTAGTGAATATAACGGAGACCGTACCGCAACCTGTCACAAGAAAAATGCTTCAATTTTTTTAAAGAACTTGTTCTCGGCCCAATCCCTTGAGTTCCCCCAAAAGGTGGATTCGGTGCTCAATCAACTTGCTTATGCGGCCGGCGATTTTAGTGCGAAAAACACAGGAATTTGACCCCTTGTTCAGAAATTTATTCCAAATCAGTCGAAAGTTAAAAGTTTTTTTAATTCTTCCTCCGAGATCCATATTAAAATAATCAGGATATCCTGGGATCCGGACGAACGTCTTTGTTAATCGTTGATTTTGTTTTGTTTGTGTTTTCATCAGCCAGTGGTCTTCTAAATGACCTGCAAATATCTGCCTCATTTCAAACACTCATCTGCTCATGCGTTATATTGTTTGGTTGAGATTTTCTCGTAAATGATAATCTCATCAAGTTAGAGGTTAATGGTGTCCCTGCACTTCTGCGAAAATGGCGGTTCCCTTCCCTAAACCATCGGAGACTATTTCCCGAAAATTCTAATCAACATGAAAATCTGATCAACAAAAACTTTCAACGTGGTTATCGCAGGTTGTCAGTTTCTGGTCTTGTCAAATGACTGATCTGCTCTTCATTGACGAATAACCACAGCCTGCTCCTGGCTAATTGTTTCAGAAATACTGCGCATCTGTCGCATGGATGCACTGATGTCGAAGGACACGGATTCAAATTAGAAATCACGGGAAGTTCAAGATATCTAGGTTTCCTAACAAACGACGCCACTTTAATATCATTTTCAATGAAATGAACTAACAGAATACTTCAAAGAAAACTGGAGTGATCCGCAAACCGGAATCTTCCTTTGTATTGTGCTAAATTTTGCCGTTTTCTCTGGTCCAGTACTCGATTTTCCTCTATGAAGAGGGAGCGCGGGCTCATTTCCCGAAGAGTGACTGGTAAACGAGCCTTCTGATTACCAGGCTTCAGTGACCGTTCAGTTTGGTGATTTCACGCCTGAACGCAGATGGAGTTAAGTGCTGAATATTTTATGACCTTTCTTCGAATTCAAAACAATCCCTTTTCATTTTGCCCGCGGAATGAAAGTAATCGTCTGCAAATCTTCCATCTTTCTGATGAAACTGTTTTCCCAAATGTTGAACATCGTTCAATTTTCTATTTAATCAAGTATCAGTTCTTTTGACCTTAGAAAACCTCACCGATTGGCTTTGCATGATTTGTCGATACCATTAAAATGACTGTGATAACCTGAGAGATGTGGTAAATAGTTGTTATCATCTTTTGAAACGAAATCCGAAAAATGATTGAGAATGATAAAGGATTAACCGGTTCTTGGCCCCCCTACTGACAAAACTTTGGGAAACTGAAAAATGTTCTTTATTTTATTAACTAGTCACTCTTACCTTTCCGTCATAATTCACGTTATCTCATCGGAGAAAACCGAAAAATGCAACACACTTCACTGAGTTCATGATTTTGGCGCTTAAAGGGCGGAATGCCCTGGAACCTTTTGCGTAAGAATTGACAGTGCTTCAGTCAGGCAAATCGATCCATCAACAAGATTCAATTGTTTGGCCAAAGATTAGTAAATTCTTGTTTGGCTACATAACTACTAAAATTCACAGAAGGGAGTTCGATTTTCAAACTAGGTAACGTTTATATTTTGTTTTGTTGAGCAGGAAGTATATTTGAATCCTCATATTGTGAAGCTTTCTGCTGGACCGAGATCCGTTGCAGTCAGATGTGAGCAGCGCAAGTAAAGTAATCTCTCGGGGTGAAGTGACAGTTTCAAGAAATACGACATGCTGTGAATTGGATTATCTGTTGACTCATATGATTGACTCTTGGACTGTTTTCCCCTCGAGTGAACTGAAATAATAACTAGAGGAGTTCTTGGAGAACTACTTAATACTCGATTCTTTAATATTTTGAATAGAGATATAATAGTTAAGTACGGAACAGATGTGTACTGACACGTTTTGACGAGAGATATGGATCAGGGGAAACAGGTCAAAACAGAAACTCTCCTCGACTCGCTTGTGCGGCAGTTGTCGGTGTATGCAGTCGCCGCCATGGGTTTATTTCTCATAGCAAAAGAATACTTCAGCGGTAAGTGCACTTCGATGCCTTTCAACTTACCAAGTAGCTTGAAATCTGGTGTTTTCGTCAGATATATAATTATAGTATTCAGTTACCTTGCGAAGTTTACTTTTAGATTTTAGTCATACAGTCCTCGATTTTCTCGTAATGAAAAAGTATTTTATTCCGTCAGAGTTTATTATTTGTTATTCAAAAAACTTTTCTCGTGTAGATGGAACCTTTCAATTAGTATTATTCCCATTAAACCCTTAACTCCTGGAAGTTATTAACCTGAACTTCTACCCATAAAATCCATAAATCACCCTGCAAACAGGTAACGACAATACTCAAATTCATCAGGAATTTGTTGTCTTGATCCAACACTAGAGGAGCTAGAGGAGAGAATTAAAAATCAGATCTTGGGATTGTCTTGAGAACTTAAAAGAAAAAACATAATCGAACAGCATTTGTGAAATGTAGCGTTAATATCTTATTAGACAGAAAATTTTTTGATAAACATTGTTTGACATTGTTTCTTTCGGTTGAAGGTTCGCTCATTGTCTGCCAACCAATCAACAGGGGTGTTAAAACGAACCTGTCTTACAGCCAATCACAGGCAGACTACGATAAAGCTTACTGTTTGATGTCAATGATAGATTTCCGGGAAAACCTGATCATTGCATCAGGAAGTGAACCTAACACAATCCCTGGGGTCACCATAATGGGAATCAAGTCAGAGGAAGAAAAGATCATTTATCAGAATTATCTTCCATTTGCTTTAGTCATTCAAGCCGCTCTATGCTGCATTCCAATCATTTTATGGCACATTTGGGCTTCCGATATTCTTCGTACCTGCATAAGATTTGTGGTTGATAGCTCAAGTAAAATTTTCCCCGGAGTGGTCGATTCAAGCCATTCCTCGGTCAAAAAAGACCAAAGTTTTGAATTACGCATGGAGTATCTGGGCGCTCAAGTTGAACTTTGGGAAGGACGGAAATTCCTTCTTAGAGTTTACACTACAAAGCTTATGCTAAGCCTTGGCATCTTCATCTTTATAGTGACCTTTTATGTAGCATATCCTCAACTGAATTATGCTAACTTCCAAGGGTATTTTGTTTGTCACGTGCACAAGCAAACTTTGGTTACGTGTGTGTTTCCTGATATTGACCTCTTCAAGTTGGCGTGGATTGTTAATATCGTTCTTGTCGACATATCTATTGTGATCGTAGTTCTCCAACTGTTAAACGTTGCGTTCTGTCTGCAACGAAAGAAAACGTTTTTTTCCTATTTCATGGGAATAGAAGAGAGAAAAATATCCCTAATACCAAACGATTTACATTTGATCTCTCACTTTTGTTATGAAAACGCCGGAGTAATGTGTCCAAGTATGATGCACAGCTCTTTTAATCTCAGAAAGACAATGCAAACCCCACTTATTTCACTTGGAAGTTCGGAGGAAGAGCTGCACTCCCCGAACTCAAGTTCATCTCTTTCATATAGCACAGCACCTCAGCTTTTCAGACGACAAACTGCGGACTAAGAACTGAGGATTCTATATTTCCCTGAGTAGCAAACAAACAAATATGGTCTCAGACTACACCTTCACAAATATGGTCTCAGTCGTTTTAGGGGTTAATAACAATAAATCACCGGTTTTACAACATAAACAGTAGCCTCTATGAGCAAAAAAAGTATTTCCCTTCTTCTGTAACAACCCCAAAACGTTCTCTCTTCTAGAGTTAGATTTTAAAAGAAGACTTATCGTAGTGAACATAATGTTTGAAAATTGGGAAATATCACTTGGGTGATATCTTCGGATACCCCCCAGTTTCAGCTGGATGATATAGGGTCACATGATACGTTTAAACCAATCGTGCGCGAGTAATAAAATATTTGATAGATCATAAAGATAGTTATTGATTTGTCTTATGAAAAAGAAATTAAAGATGTACCTATGCGTCAGATATTCAAGATTTATCCGTCCAATTACTAATGATCTATCCATTCATGTAATGGCTAATGCTTTTACCCGTCGGAGAGCTGGTGGTTCACCCGTCGGATACTTAATGAATAAACTGTCCCATAAATAGCGATTAATCAGTCGGATATATACTAGTTGATCCGTCCAATAGCTAATTATTTATTCCTGGGATAGCTGATAGTATTTCTTCCGGATAGTTGGTAATTTATCCGTCGCATAGCTAAAAGAGATATTAAAAGAAAATACTAAAAGTCCTAATTCACCACAAGATAACGAAACATATCTTACGCTAAAAAAGCTTAGAAAAAGGGATTCCCGGATTCTAAAATATAGAATTTACAAACCTAACTCGTGGAAAAAAATAAATAAGTATAATTAGATCACAAATGTGCCGGTGTTTTTTAACCGCCAGATTGAACAGGTGCAGTCAACTACCCTTTTCACAGCACATAGCCATATGCCAATTAAACAGTGCATGAACGAAGACCCTTGAGGAAGGAAGAGAAAAAGAAGAAGGAAAAGGAAGGGGAAAGAGTGAGATATAGACTATGGTTCTGATGGGCGTTTCTCTGCCCGAGTCAGGATTGGGCTCTTGTATAAATATTCAGAATATTAATTTTAGAAGATTCTAGATAGCTAGTTGATTTCCCCAGTGTATATATATCGAGGGGGACTAAAAGGGTTGTGAACATCGCAATACCGCAAGAAGATTTGGCAACTGATACCGCAATATTGCAAAAAAATTGACAAATACCGCAATACTTCAATACCGAGTCGAAACGCGATGTCATCAAAACTAATACTAATACTATGTATGTTACGTCTAGAGCAAATGACAAGGAAACAGCAATTAAGAATTTTTTGATGAATATTAAGTCAGGTGGTTTCCGATTTAAACAAAACGAACAAAATAAGAAACATCCATTGGCGTGTTGTTTGAGTCTTGTTTTGGCCTGTTTCCGAAACAATTGGAAATTGGAAAAGGCTCAGAAAACTGGAGGACTTGGAGGATAATTTTTCATACCATCACGGTCCAAAATCCTAAAACACCACATCATACAAGAGAAATGTTGTATTTTAGGATAATCACACTAAGAAAACAACAACAACCACATGGTGTGTTCTCTCTCCTTTATTCACAATGCATCATGGTTATGATGACGTATAAATATATTACAGCAGGTACGGAGAATACCACAATACCACAATTCGAGGTTAAATTACCCAAATACCGCAAGAAAAATTTTCCAATTCCGTAAACCCCAATATTCCCCTCTACAAAAGATTTGTCCGTCGGGCAGAGTTATCGAATCTATAAACAACTGATACCACAACGCCGTGTCAAGCGGTTATTACAGCTGAATGGCTTCAAGTCTCTTCCAAAGTTTAAAGGATCAACGCGCCTTAATGATGAAAAAAATTAATTAACGCATTGAACACTCCTGTCGGCTCGATGTTCACCCTTACAGTGCTGAGAACACTGTTGTCCCATCACTTGTACTGAGGCCCTCGCTGAGTGAAGCTACGGCCAGGCTACCCGGACTGAGCTCGTTGTTGTGTTCTGTTAGCGACCAAAGAACCTCGTGGTCGATTGAAGAATAAAGCCTGTGTTCATTGAGTTATCAGTAATGCCGGCCGGTGTCGTCTGTGTCGTCTGACAATACAATTGAAATTCACATGAAACAAGTGTAAAGCGTCATAGTAATAAGTTCCTACCTCAAAAAAATGTCCTTACGTAATGAATTTGATATCAAGACTTGTTCACCTCAGAGATTTTTTTGTCTTTTGGTTTTATTTTCTATTTTTATGCAGCACATTTCCTCTCATATGTAATTTCTTGAAGACGATAATTTAGTTACGTGAACAGAATAATCCTAATGACGAGCTAATAAATATGAGCCTTGGGCTGAATGTGGCAACCCTTAGGCCTTAAGAGACAATTAAAGATGTAAATGCTTCTGGCATTGACGATATTTTCCAATCCAAGGTAAAGAGGAAACGGCCGTAATAACAAAGCGTAATAGTACTAATGACAAACTAAACTCAGTGGCAGTTAAACAATGACGCCATCATGATTCTAAGAATTTTCCTAGAGCGTCGAATCGCATCATTGAATAAAATCTCCCATTCTGATTGGTTAACGAAGCGAGGTCTTTAGCGTGGAATTGCGACTTGAAAATAAGGCTAACTGATATTGTTTCACATCTATGTATACATAACAACTCTAACTAAAGCTGGTTTTTTGTTGTTGTTTTTATTCAGTTACGCGACTTAAGGAAAGTCCATAACTTGACTAATGAATTCCGCATTAAATTGCACTTGAAAACCGATATCGCACGAATCGTGAAGTGATGAATGCGATATCGGTTTTCAAGTGCAATTTAAGGCGGAATTCCCTCGTGAAGTAAGGAATTTTCCTATAAAACATCGTAGCAACATGACAACGAAAGAGTTCTTCCATTCAAAAGATAGTCAAACATGAAAACCTCACAACAGGAGTATACAATCAATTACTTCTCCAGTTGCTGTTAACTTTCAGATCTAGAGCTTTATCTCACAACTGCTCGGATTATGTATTTAGCTCCTTGAAACCATACCGAGATCATTAACATTTTTTTACGTACTTTTCCCAAGAACTTCACGTAACAAAGGAAGAAACTGAATAAATCACCACAAGCATAAACCAAGAGATATGGAGCTACATTTTTACAACTCTCTCTCGCCAGGGGTTGATTCAAAACACAATTTCGTCACAGTTGATTGCCATTTTCATCACTTGGCGTCGAATAGCGTGAGTCGTTTTCAATTTCTTTTTTTTTTTTTTTCACTGAGCTGAAAAGCTGAGTTAATTGAATAAATGTGTGAATTTACCGGCAAACTTACTTTTATTCCATTGAAAATTGAAAACCCCGGTTTAACGTACTAAAATATAAATAAACATTAGGCGGTTCCCTTAGTAATATGTCTTCAATACCATGAACGCCAAACAATTACCTATTTTCAACTAACAAATTTGCACTGTTGAGTTGGGTCGAGATAAAGGACGAGTCAGGCATCGGAGGCAAAAGCAGAGTTTTAATAGGTAACCATTTCTTTAAATTTCATTCACACTAATCCCTCCCTTTCCAAAGCACAATTGGAGCCTCTTTATTCGAGTATACCAAAACGGGTTTCTCGGATTACAAGATATAAGTAACGTGACTTCTCTCTCACCCACAAAAAAGAAACCTTAGATGCGTTGACAGGAGAAAACTGGCTTGAATCTCTCCAAATAAACACTACAGTCAGTTTTAACGAATGAAATTTAAAATAATACACCTTGTTTATTTCGGTAAGTGATCTGAAACGTCCATTTCAAGAAATTTCTTACAGAGACTTCAACTCCTTAACTCTGACTGAAATTTCTGTTATGAAATAAAGGAGAAAATTCGTATCGCTCACCTGACCCATTGCAGAAGTTCTAAGAAATAACAATTATTTGAATCAACAGAAATTACCTAACAGAGTCCGCGATCAGTGCTTCATTTTACTTGATGTTCAGAAATAAGTGTTTCATTATCAATTTTATCTTGTTATCTTTTATGGTAATGTTTTGTAACTTTTCGGGTTGTATGGGTTTCACTAGAACGATTATTTCATCTCACAAATAGGAAAGTTTCATTTCAGAAACAGCTTTTGTCCTAAAAACGATATAAAGGAAAACCCAATTTACAAATATATAGACACATAAAATTATTTCGTACAAGCGAGGAATTATGCACCGACCAATTTGAAGCTTCAAAATCCCCCAGGCAACCCACGGCCATCTGCCCGTCGTCCATGCCCGGTGGGTGAGAAATTTGAATCTTGCTAAGGTGGGGTGGGGCATTTGAAGCGGAGATGTGAAGTCTTTTCAGCGCAATAGACGTGTTTTAGTGAAAGGTAAAGAGTCTGCTTTTATGAGCGAATAGTTTAGAAAGACAATTTTCACATCGTATAATGATGCTTACAAGCCAAATACCCAAAAGCAGCACCAAAAACTAAAACGTGACTTTGTGCAGTAAATTCTAAAACATTCGTCGTTGATCAATGAACAAATAATCGTTCAATATTGGATGGGGCATTGGAACGCAATTTTGGCCCGGACGTGGGGAGGCGGGGAGCCACAGTCTCCAAAAGTTCAAATGCCCGGGGGGATGTTGAAGCTTCGAATTGATCGACGCATTTTAAGATGTTGTTTTGTGGTAATGGTTGGCCAGTTTTTTAATGTTATCAAAAGGTTCTGTATCAATAAACAATTCACAAGCATCAACTTCTTGTGACAGCAAGTAAAATATCTTTATCTCATCAAGATACATCATGGCAAAAAAGACCTTTTTTGTTTTGTTTCGTATGAGTACATCAGTAAACTGGTTGTCATAATAATCATTTCCGGGAGAAGCAGGCAGTGAGGATGCCCAGTTCCAAAGCCGTGCGCGGAGTTCTTCTGGGTACAGTCATTGGCTTGGCATTAGCAGGACTTTTTATTGTGTGGAGCGGAAAAGACACTTACATAAAGTATGAATCAGGACATTTGGGGAGCTACGTCAATGGTATGGAAGATAGAATCACTGTTCCAATGATTATCGCCAGATATTTTACCTGCTTTCTGTGCTTTTAAGTTCTTAATTTAGCAATTCAATACATGTACATCGTCTCTATTGTCTAAAAAAATAGAAATAGAGGCTGAGTACAAGTTGAATTTTGCCATGTACCTTTTAATCAGCGTAATTTCGTTTGTGGAAAGTTTTTTCCGTATTAACTTGACATATTCAAATGTCAGGCATATGTCAGAAATGTACCACATGCAGTCGCTGTACAGTGTAACTTTCTCAGTCTATATACATCTCTCTGGGTAGGTAGATAGCCTAACACCATCATGTTAACTGCTATGATGCTGTTATAATAATGTGGCCGTGTTATCAACTAACTTGATGGGTTATTTTTTTCTGTGGTAGACCTAATGTCACTGACTGTCACTAACACTGTCACCCGGCCCCAGATCCCCTTTCTGTTTCCTTTCCCTGCTGATCGCCCTGTAATCACATTTATTCAAAGGAAAATTATTATGGTTTGGAGATCGAGATATCACCTCACTCAAAACGTCAACGGAAAATGACAAGGATGAAAGGAAGGAATTGGAAACACAACGAACTACGGGAGAGACGGAATCAGACGGTAGGGATTTATCAATTTTTCTATGCCAAATTTGTCCGCTTTGTTCAATTCTTCTTGGTTTGATTGATATGGTTAAAGCAAATGCAAAATTTATGCTGTTTAATTATTCTGCGAGGATATTGCATAGATGTTGCCCAGGAGATTTGTATAAAATGAAATCCACGTACTCTTAAATAAATGAATTTTAAAAACAGAGAGCCCCAGCTGCGTTACAGGCCAAATTTCACACTCAAAAATTTGTCTACCATCTTTGGGCGTCGTTTTGTCGAACGCCAGCACATCGAAGAATAGGGATTGTATTGCTCATAAAGTCGAAAACGTGAGTGGTAGCGAGTCGGAGAAAACTTTTCTCTTAACGAGTCGGGAAGTGAGATAAGGTTACGATACTGATTATGTCTACTACTGTACAATTTCCAGCTAAGTTGCTGCTATCGCGCTCTGCAGTCACCTATCATCTGTCATCTGTCACCTGTCACCTGTCATCTGTCATCTGTCGTTGAGAGTTTAACAACTGTAGTGTATTCATTCATACCACCGTTAGTCTTACAACGGTTCGTAGTCCCGTGGTCGTTGCGTATGAAACAATTTTTTTCTTTGGTTTATTTTTCTTTGGTCTTTGCTCGTTTTCAGGACGCACTGAAAAGAGAGATCATTTAGACTTTTCATCGAGACGATGTCTAGGCTTAAAAACATTGTTTTTGCAATGTCAGGGGAAGGCAACATTTGAAATATTAAAAATGTCACAAGTATTTCAATAAGTCAGAAAAGTTTTTGGTTTGGAAATTTCAGCTGGCTCACAAGATTTTACAATTTCATTTTTATCTCTTTTACTGATGTAATTTACCAATCTATGTACGACATGCAGATCAAGAACCAGTTTCAACAGAGGACTTATACAAAGCTTATGGTCACGTGAACACCATCGTGTTTTTCATTGGCTATCCACGCAGTCGTCACAGTCTTCTAGGTTCGCTACTGGATGCTCATCCGCACATGGTTGTATCTGACGAAAAAATGGCTTTCACCATATGGAAACGTAGATCGGACTCATTCATCAAAAGTTCAATATACAAGTTTTACGATATTATGTTCAAAGCTTCAGAGAGATCAGCTGCCCAAGGAAAGCGGTCTAGAGCCTTCGAAGGTAATGTCACGAACAAGAGTTCAAGATATGGATATCTTGTACCAAACCAGTGGCAAGGAAGGTTTGATCAATACATTGAGGTGAGAAAAATCTAAAATATGCACAACGTAACGCAAATTCTGTCTTAATCCCCGTTCCAGGAGCCATTAGGGAGCTTAAGATACAGACGTTTTCGGGGCGACGGCGACGTGACAAGCCAGGTAAACTGGGTCAGAGGTTGCCGTTTTCGCGCCATAATTGAAGTTGTTAAGATTCTGATGACGGCCGGCCTTTGCGACTTCTTCGAAGTTCGTCGAGTTTCGCTTTATAAATTGAGGCTTTTTTGTCGTAGCATAGTTACGTTTGAAGAATTCCGCCACCTCCTCGTCCTTTACTATGACGCTAATCTTGTTAGCGATGAAGAGTTCTTGGTTTTGTAGGAAATATTTCAACGGCAACGCCCCGGAAGACGTCGATTAAAAAATTAATTTTTACCTTTAGTTAGAATTTCGAAAATGACTGCATGTGTTTACCGTCTCATACAGCGCCACAGCTCAACTTCAGCATGACGTATAAAGTAGCCGTTGAGTTCCAAATGGAAATTAAAATAATTTGCCGTCGCGGTTTCGGTTCGCAGACGACGCAAATTTTGGCGATTTCACGTTGTTGTTTTGCATAGGACGGCTAAGAAATGTACAAAGTTTCAAAACGCACGTGCTGAGCTATTGTTCTGCCAATTAGATCTCTTGTTTTTCCACGTCCTCGTTGCCGTCGTCCCCGTGGTTTCTTAAAGTCCCTATTAGGGACTTTAAGAAACCACGACGGCGACGCCAAGGAAGACTTCGATTAAAAAATGAATTTCTACTCTTAGTTAGAATTTCAAAAATGGCTGCAGGAGCTTACTGTCTCATACAGCGCCACAGCTCAACTTCAGCATGACGTATAAAGTAGCCGTTGAGTTCCAAATGGAAATTAAAATAATTTGCCGTCGCGGTTTCGGTTCGCAGACGACGCAAATTTTGGCGATTTCACGTTGTTGTTTTGCATAGGACGGCTAAGAAATGTACAAAGTTTCAAAACGCACGTGCTGAGCTATTGTTCTGCCAATTAGATCTCTTGTTTTTCCACGTCCTCGTTGCCGTCGCCGTCGTGGTTTCTTAAGGTCCCTATTGTCTGTATCTTAAGCTCCCTATTATCAACATCGTTAACAATTAGCCCCAGTTCAAATGTCCAACTTCACATGTCGGGCGAACTAAACTGAGAGAATAATAAAGCCATGTTAAGGTGATTCCTCAAAAATTGTAACCGAAAAATTTTTTTAGAACTTTCCTCAAATGTTCCCAACCAATGTCTGTTTTGTAAAATACAAAAAAATTGGATTTTTATGCGCAGCACAAGGTGCGCAATGCAATACTGGGGAAACGCCTTAGTTCAAGGTTAGGGTCGCTCCGACGAAGGGCTAAAGCTCGAAACGTCAGCTTTTGTAATCGTTACGGTGGCCAATTTACCACATTAACTTTGTTGATATATCCAAGTTATAGGGTCAGTTTAGTTCGTCCGAGAGAGTTTAGATCGACCAACACGTTTTATCCATCCGTCTGCTTCGGATGGATAAAACGTGTGGAGATCGACTGTAGGACAAACCTCCATATTTTCATGAAACGAACTTAATGATTGAATCACTTGAAATCCTGCTGACGGAAAGATTCGTTTTTGTTGCTCGGAATTTGGTTCGACGAATTATGTGCGATGTTTGATGCAGCGGTGGACATGTTCCATCTTAGCACGTTAGTGTGGTGACCCGTCTGGTCGGCAAATAACGCCGGGAGGATTACAACGAATTGAACCTTAAACGATAGCTTTATTCCGCCTACGCGACTCGTGGTCCTTAACAACTACAGTCAGGCGTTACATGCACCACTGAGGGGGAGTCTGGGTCCTAATACACTACAGTTAGGGTCGACCAAAATTGTAACATAGTTCGTGTCTTGTTCGACATCTAAACTGGACCTCAGAGCTAATTAAATTGATTCCTCGATAGACCACTTCTAATGTCTGCCGAAGCTGCGTTTATCAAGTTGTTTGTCTCTCTGCCTACATGCGTAATTTTTCCTGATACTTATATGCATTTCATTCGCAACATGATACGTCAGATTCAAGCAAATACAAATTGCTCTTTATCAAGTTTCCTTTTCCATACCTAGGTGATTGGAGACAAAGCAGGTGCATCTACAGCTCAAGCAATGCTTAAAGACGATGCTATTGATGCTGTACACCTTTTAGAGAAAGCTGCGGCTGCAAAGGTCAAGTTCATTCATGTTGTCAGAAACCCATTTGACAATATTGCAACCATGGTTATACAGCATAAAACAGTCAAAGGACGTGATGGCGAACACCACAAGGTATTATGACAGTTAACTTACTTCAAGTTCTTCTTCCTTTCAGTGATGTACAGTGTTTGCCAATGATTACGACCGTCGTTTAACGATGGGCTCAGCGATCGCAGCGAAATTAAGGAAAGCATTTACCAGCGAGCGATCACAACGACACTAGCTTAAATCAAGCGTCACTTCTAACCTAAAATTGTTTCCGATGTGATTGCTAAAGTTTGTAATCATTTTCAGTCGTGGGCCTGTCAGTTTCAAAAAGAAAAGTTACCAGTTACTATATTAATAATACTAACAGAAGGCCAAACCAGAGAGACAATCTCCGCTTGAAAGAAAACAAAAGGATACTGAGACAGGAACTGAATACCATTTATTGACGTGATGCGCACAAAGTCTCCCAAACTCCTTACGGTTCAAAATGGGTCATCTACTGTTTCCAGCTATGTTCAAGTTCAAGTTCAAGTTCATTTGTTTGTTTAAGCAGGTTGATTAATTGGCAGCTGTAATAGCTGATGTGGACCTGCTGTCCTAACCCACCCATCCCACCCCAGGGGAGGACATCCATCATACAGTAATCTCGTGTGTGGGAAATTAACGTCTCCTGCCCCAACCCTGCAGGAGA